AATATGGTAATGTGTCAAAGTTGACCTGCAACCTATTGTGTGGCCTATAAACTAAAGTTTTTCACACCTTTAAACAACTGGGAAAATATCAAAATAATTGTATTTTTAGCACATAATTTATACAGAATCCAGGTTACCTGTAGTAGAGATAGAATGGCTAGTCTGAGCATTACATATCATTCTTCTGCACAGTGCTGAAACTAACAGTGGTGTTAGACAACCCTTAGCACTGCACACTAAAGCCTGGCAAGCTCCAATGACAGTGATGCAGTCACAGTTATCATGTGTGGATGCTGTGCATTGCTATTTGGTACTGTCTTTTTTTCTTTTGAAACAAAGTCTCACTGTGTAGCTCTGGTGGTAGCCTAGAACTCCCTACCTAGACCAGGTTGAACATGGAGAAATTCCTCTTCTCCTGTTTGCCAACTGCTGGTGAGCATCACCATGCTTAGTGTAATTTTGTAACTTAAAAAATCAGTGTACAAGAAAAATGGACTTAGAAGCATACATGTTACATCAGATAGAACTGAAATCATTAGACAATATTTTAAAAACTAGGTCCCTGTTTTCTTTGTAGGTCTTAACACAGAGGCATCCCTCTGACACTTCAGGCTGCTATACTGTCTAGGGACTATACCCCAACCCTTCTCAGTAATGTGCAGTCTGAAGAAATATGGGAGTGGTGTGTCCTTGGACATATGAGGCCATTGCTTCTCTCTGCTAGTGCTATAGGAATGAATATCTAGGAACAGATCATTGAGCACCCCTAACTACACTGACTTGAGGCCCAAGTGCTAGCTATGGGCTTTTATGACCTCTTTTTTCTAATTGACATCATTATTATTATTATTATTATTATTAGTGTGGGGGGGGTGGAGTGAATGCCATGGTACACATGCTAAGGTTAGAGGACAACTCTGTAAAGTCTCTCTAGTGTTATGTGGGCTCTTGGGAGCTGACTCAGTTTATCGGGCTTGCATCCTCAGGTAGCAAATACCTTAACCTGTGAAGCCATCCTGCTGGCTCTAATGTCCTCTATTTTTAAAGTAGAGATATTCTCTGAGGTCCCAGCAGAGATGAATCTCAGTAAATAGGATTAATTTCTCTTAATTAAGATAGAGAGTATTCGGGCTGGAGAGATGGCTCAGTGGTTAAGAGCACTGACTGCTCTTCCAGAGGTCCTGAGTTCAAATCCCAGCAACCACATGGTGGCTCACAACCATCTGTAATGAGATTTGATGCCCTCTTCTGGTGTGTCTGAAGACAGCTACAGTGTACTCATAAATAAAATAAATAAATTTAAAAAAAAAAAAAGATAGAGAGTATTCAATTCCTAACCCTATCCGGAAAGAGGAACAGGCTAGCTAATACATGCAAACCAGACACAGAAATAGTGAAAAGGGAAAGAAAATAATACATAAAATGTCCAACCAGAATGACAGGCCAAATAATACAAAGTAAAGACAGGACTGCAGAGATGGTCAGTATGTAACACACTTGCTGCCAAGTCTGAAAACCTGAGTTCAATATCTAAAACTCACACAGCAGAATTCACTCCAGTTGTCCTTTGTCCACCATGTAATGCACATGTGCACAAACATAAATAAAAATGAAATAAATTGTTTAAAAATTTTAAGTGGTAAAATTGCCTAGGAATGAGAGAGAAAAGATCACAAAAAGTCAGAATATTTAAGGAGAGAACTGGGGATATTATTAGCTATTGTTAGAGCAGCTGCCTAGCATGTGCAGAGTCCTGGATTCTCACCCAAACAGGAGAAAAAAACAAGTAAAAAGGAAACATGAGAAAGGTAGAAACAAGTCAATAACATAAATACAAAAAGTTTTAAAAGACAAATAAAAAGCGTGAAGCAAAATACATGTACCAAAAAAATTAGAAAAATAGTCTTAAGAAAGGAAAGCATTGTTTCTACTGAAATGGTCCACTGTACATGGAAGAATTGTACTACTATTCCAATCAGTTTTTATCATGTCTTGCTTAGTTCTTCGAGAGCAAAGGCCAAGGCCAGGCACTGCAGGACCCTTCTGAGGCCTACATAGAAGTGAGAGCAACTATCTGCGCTGAGGAGCTGGGTACAGCAGGCAGCAATCCAACTAATCAGATCCATTGGATTGGTTCTTCAAGTTCCTAAGCAGCAACAGTGTTAATGGGGAAAGTGAGTTCTGCAGTCTCTTCCTGTTACCTACCAAGCACCATTGGCATGGAATTACAGGATGTCGGTCTCCTCTGGCAAACTGGCTTTCAGAGCTATTCACTGAGAGCATATTCATGTTTGTGTAAATTCTTCAATGCAGAAGGGACAGTAAAATAAAGGGCTTTTTGTTTCCCAAAGCTGCACGCTCCAACACACCATTCACCCTTCTCCAGAACACCACCCTCCTCACAACAGCATTGCCAATGTGTGTTGGAAAATGCAGAAAGCTTCTCTATCAAGCCTGCTCTGCAGAATTCTGAGCAGTGGGGCTGAGACTGCCCCTCTGTGCCATGCTGAGTCCATGTCAGCTATATTCCCTAGGTCTCCACCTAGGTACCTGCTGGTACCTTTTCCCTCTGCTGTGCTGCCACAGTCGCACTGCATGGAGGCGCTCTCTCTCTCTCTCTCTCTCTCTCTCTCTCTCTCTCTCTCTCTCTCTTTCTCTCTCTGCTCCAGTCTTCAGTGTCATGGCTGCTTCATGTCTATCTGTATACTGGAACTCCTTGTGTTCTCAGCCACACCTTCTTAAGAAGCTACTCTCTAGTTTTTTTAATTCCAACTTAGGAAGAAATAGGTGAGTGCTGGGGACCTCTAGCTGTGATTTTGACGCTCACCATAGTATATATCTGATAAATACGTGGACCCACCATGTATTGCTACAATAGCAGAATCAGTCATAAGCTTCATGTATCCCAGGAGTTTGTTGGGCAACACGTGGGTGGCTTTTATCTCTGTGTTCATCAGTTCTCCATTGCTGTGACAATGGGTGGAGTGATTTAAACGGAGGAGAGATTAACTTGCTCCCGAGTTTAGAGGCTTTAATCCATGGCACTGGGTTCTGTTGTCCCAGACCATAGCAAGACGACACATGGTGGGACGCACATGGCAGGGCAGAGCTACTCACCTCACGGCAGCCAGGAAGCAGAGAGAGAGAAAGAAGCAAGCTTTCAGAGGCAAAGGTTCTTTCCACCAACCTGACAACCTAAGTTTAGTCCTCAGGACCCACAAGACCCCAGAGAGAACCAACTCCTACTAGTCATCTGACCTCCACATTCTACACACACACACACACACACACACACACACACACACACACAAGAACCAACTCCTACTAGTCATCTGACCTCCACATTCTACACACACACACACACACACACACACACACTCAAATAATAAATATTTTTGAGAGAAAGAAGGTACAGCCAGTGTTCTATCTTTCCACCTCACGTCCTCAAGTAGGCCCCACCACCCAATATGTTATTATGTTATAGATCATCAAGGGACACTTTGTTAATTATGTCTGAGAGCTTGAGAGTCAATCATTTCCCAAAAAACCAATCAACTAACAACCAAACCCCTAAACAGGAGGCTTTGGGAACTTTCAAATTCAAACCATAATAATCATGGTTTTTCTCATTATTTTTGGTGACCTGTACAAAAAATACACTGTTAACTTCATGACAATATTTGGGCTAAGCGGTAACACAAACTGAAATTACAGGCCAGCAAGATGGCTCAGTGGATAAAGATACTTTTTCTGTGCAGAACTAACAACCCAAGTTCCATCCCTGTGACCTACGTGACAGAAAGTTAGAACCATCTACAAGATTCCCTCTGACATCCATGTATATATTCATGTGCATGTGTGCAGAAAAAGTGCACACATGCGTACACACACATGTAAATATGTAATATTTACATAATGTAATAACAAAACCAGAAATTAGCCAGGGGAGCCAGGCCTGGTGGCACACACCTGTAGTCTGAGCACTTGGGAGGTAAAGGAATGAAGGGCCAGATTCTGCTACGTGATGAGGTCAAAGCCATCCTCAGCCTCAAAGATGACAAGAAATTAGCTGAAGAGGATGAAAATGAGACATGGAAATGACAAGCAAATGGGAGAAGATGTATAAGATATATAAAAACCATGGAAATTTGAGGATGACATATTATCAAGGGGCTCACATGTGAAGAAACTGTCATGAAAGAATTCTTCTAATGATCTTCACTAATCTTCATTGCTAACCCCTCTCTACTTCTAGTCCAAGGCAGATGTCACACTTCTAGTGCTAACCAGATCTGACCTATTATGAAAACAGCCCCTTGCATGCTTTTAATCCCAGCACTTGGGAGGCAGAGACAGTCCGATCTCTGAGTTCAAGGTAAGTCTGGTCTAAAGAGTGAGTTCCAGGATAGCCAAGGCCTCACAGAGAAATGCTTTCTTGAAAACAAAACAAAAAAAAAATAGAAAAAGAAAAGCAAGCAAGCAAGCAATTAGCCACTGGTTGTTAGTCGGACCTCCAAGAGTCCAGCCTCTCTTTCCCACACACTGAACAGAATCTTAGAAGAAACTGTAAGGCTCTCTCCTGGTAACTATAACCAGTATACTCTATCCTTGAGTGTGGGTATGGTCTATTTAACTTAATGTGGTAAAAAATAAAGTAATTCTGACAGGCCTCAAATTAGTTTCTTCTGAGTTAATCAAAGGGGAGCTGAGAGAAGCCTCTAGCCAACTAGCAGTCAGGAAACTCAGAGCTCTCAATCATCTAAGTGAAAGGAGATGGATTATATCACACTGAATATGAATGTGAAAGCAGATACATCTCTTAAAACTATAGAACACACACTGCCATATGGCACCTTTAGTATAAGGTGTGGGCCATTAACAAAGCACTATTCTGTTTGTAGACATCTGACCCCAAGACTTCTCTAGATCACAAGCTGGGTTTTCTTTTGAAAAATTTTAGCAATAGATTTTCACCTTTTTGTGAGCCTCACTGTAGTTACCTGTAGTAACTTTCCTTCCTTTGTCTGCTTGGCAAAATGTTCCTCTTCATTTAAAGTCACTTCACACAGACCAGCCCTAATTCTGTTTCACAGGAAATGAAGACCAACTCATCTGACACCAGAGCTCATAACCCTCTGCAACAATCACCAAGAGTATAGCACCAGGACCACAGCTAGTACATGAGCGTCTCCAGATTAGCTAGTCACTGGCTACCAATGTTCAGTATGTGTTTGATGACTTGAAAGTGAAGAGAGCCAGGCTGATAGATGGTTTGACCAGTCAAGGCACTTGCTGTCAAAGACTTACTACACGAGTTCAATTCTCAGGACCTACATGATGAAAAGCGAGCACCGACTCCCTAGATGTCCTCTGACTTCCATAAGCAACATGGTACAATCATGTAGGTACATGTTCACACAAAAAAATGTATTTAAAGATAAAAATAAACGTGAGAAGAGGGCTTACTGTAAGTTGAGATGTACAAAAACTCCTTCATTTCCCAATTCCTTCATTTCCCTGCCTACCTGAGCAATCAGTAGTGTCTCCCTTCTGGTTTTAGAATATACAATTTATTTCCTCTTAATAGTAACAAAATAAAAAAAGAAGTAAAGAGATTTACCTGTTTTTGAGTAACAGAGTTAAAAATGATACCAACCTTAGGATTACTCCTTTCTGCTGTGTCATGGGTATGTAATAATATACTATTATCACTAAACTATAGTCTAATAGTTATTGTCACAAATAAATGGAAACAAACTATTTTTATAAAAAAATCTACTGTGTAAAGGAAATTCAAATTTATAAATTATTTTTTAAGTATTTGTCATATGAAGGATAAATTTATAATTACTTATCAGGGAAAGGTGCAAGGGGACATAAAACTTACTCGGTCTTGTTAATACACTACAGCTATTTCAATAACCCAAGGAACAGACAAAGGCTTCTGAAGTGTGTTGTATATTCTCTTTTTCTAAATGAAACAAATACAGCCTGTTTACCTTAAAGATTCAGATAGTGGTGTTAAAGTGCCGTCTCCCCTATCTACTACACGAAAGAAATTCAGTTGATCTCCTTCCCGGTATACCAAAAATGTAACTTGTTTGTTGCAAGAGGTCCTTTCCCAGGCCTCATCGCGACTGGAATCCATGTACTCAGCAAGCTCCCTGAGTGGGTCTTCCACAGGAACTACAAATGGAAAGATTGATAAACAGGCTTTCAATTCATAGCACATTTCTGCATCTTGCTACAGCAACAGGATAAATATGCCGAGTGTGCACAACTACATTGTGCATGTGATAATACGATATGCTCCAAACAGGCTTCTGATGTTTTAATATTTTATATAGCATCCCTTATTAATTTTTAAAGAAATTAATGAGTACTGTATTTTCATTGTTTCCCCCCTCCTTCCCTCTTTCCTCCAATTCTTGCTGTCTCTCCTAAATCCTCTCAATTTTATGGCTTGTTTTATATTAATATGAAAGAAAACTACATCATTATGTTGCATGCCTAAAGAGAAGCGTAACTAAAAACATGAGGTCATTTATATTCTTGTACCAGAACAGTTGATAGATTTCTCTATTGTTATTTTAGCTAAACCCCTTCAGCCTTCTGTGCTTTTAAATACTGGTTCCAACAATCAATCATTTAAATGAATTATAAATTCCAATTACTTTAGATTATATAATAATAAATAATCATAAGACAGTGTGTCCGTGTGCACGCATGCGCACACACACACACACACCATTGGGAGCTACATTCAAGCAATTAGAAGCAAGAGAGAGCTAGAGACAGGATTCATTGGAGAGTGAATATCTAGCATGTTCAAGGTCCTGGGTCCAGTCTGTACCAGCAAAAGAAAACAACAAAATAAAACAACAACAACAACAACAAAGTAAATCTTTTCGCTCTTTCTATAGCTATTCCTTGAAGTAGTTGAAAGAGCACAAGAAAGCCTAAGGAAGGTCACAGGCATGCTAAAACTGCACTGCATCAAAGGCTCAGCGCGTGCCTCCTGAAAGGCTCAGCGTGAGTCTCTTGAAAGGTTCCTCTCATGACCTCAGTGTCTTAGGGTGTGTGTCCAATCCGAGCACAGGAGACTCACACAGATCTACTGGAGCCACCAACACTCTTCAAACCTGGGGGGTCAGTGATAGCCAGTTATGCTCAAGTTTCCAAGTTGCCTAACTTTCATTACTCATTAACCACGCTGGAATACCACGCTCGGTGCCCTAAGTGGTGGTGCCAACAGTAGATACCACTGAGCAGCAGAGAACTCGCCTGCTGTGCACAGGCTCAAGGTTCAACAGCCAGCACCAGAAAGAAAAGTGAAATAAAAAGAAACACTAACAGAAAAATATTAAACTCTGAAAGCAATAAGGTCAAAGTATCAAAGATGCCATGGTCTAAATTTAATATCACTACTTCTGAAACATAACATTGATTTGTTCTTTCACTGTCTGAAAAATTTGAAACCTAAAAATGATATTATCCATAGAGCTTCCTGCCTTCTCTGAGACACCTATGTTGCCCAAGCTTATTTGTAACTTTCAATTCTCCTGCCTCGGGCATGGCTGAGATGACAGGCAAATACCACAGTATACAGAACTATTTTCAAAATTAAAGTCCCAATTTCCATATTACATCACTAAGAACTAATTATTACCACAGCCACTAAAAGCCATTCCTAAACCAGTACAGGGTGCTTTATGCCAAGAGTGGGTGCTGAAGTTGTCTGTGTGTGCATAAGTCTTCATGACTGAACACTCACTGGGAGTCTGTCATCTAGAAGCAATGTAGTTCAGTATATGATTTCAGAAAAGGAAGATTTTCTTCTTGTGCTGTTTTAGTTGTTATTTTGAGGCAGAGCCTTAACATTTTAATCATTCAATCTTAACCAAAATTATTTAGTATGGAGATATAATTTGACATGTGGGAATAAGCCAGCAAAGGAATCTGTACTCAACTTCCAGTGTTCTAGTTTGTGGAGGATCAAAACAGTCTGAAAACCTTCTAGAAATGAGGGTCACAAAGTCAGACTGCTGTGACCATGGCTCTATGTGGTGGTGTGCAGATGACAAAGCTGGCTTGAGGACAGGGAGCAAGCCAGTGAATTTGATTAAAACCTTGTGGTGGCTTCAGTAGGAATGGCCCCCGCTAAACTCTTGTTTGGATGCTTAGTCATTAGCCCCCGAAGAACAGTACTAAGTTACTTAAGAGTGATCCTTAGAGTGCTTTAATGTATGCCTACCTTTTCTAGTACTTATTGGTCCTCCACGCATAGCCAAAACCAGCTTCAAGGTACAACCTTCTGAAATGCTGTGAATAATTAGCACAAAAATAAACTACAATCATCAAAAAACATTCAGTGTCAAATGAACCACTAATTATGTGCTGGTTTATTAGTGCTATTATATATTCCCTAAAATATGGGAAAAGATACAGCAATACGAGTAAATGAAATATATTAATGTATTTACCCACATGAATTACAGAAAATTTATAAGTTCTCATAATCTTTGTAAAAAGGGAGAGCCCAGGTGTTAGATGGTGCCACATGTCTTTGATCCCAGGCTCCAGGGCCAGAGGCAGGCAGATCTCTGAGTTCAAGGCCAGCCTGGTATATAGAGCAAGTTCCAGGGCAGCCAGAGCTACACAAGAAATCCTGTCTCAAAAATACAAAAAGGAGGACCAAGAAAAAAACTTAGTCAAACCCCAAAGAACTAGGAAATAGAAAATGCATTCAGCAAAATAAAAATAACACAGAAAATCCAGCAGCTCTCCCAAGTCCTAGTGTTCTCCCAGTTCAATGTCACCTCTCAGCCTCCTAATTCCTTTGTCTTGAGAGTAATAAATTACATGACAGGAAAGAGAAAGATCAAAAGTCAGAAAGCACAATTGTAACTACTGGTATAAACAGTATCACTTTGTAAAGAGAAAATAGGTCCTAATGAATAAAGTCTCAGTGGTCAGCAACTCTCCTGTGCCCAAAACTTGTGAAATGAAAGGAAAGGAACTGGGCCAGGTTAGAGGAGATCAATATTAAAAAAAAAAAAAAAAAAAAAGCAAAGAGGATGAGAAGTTAATAGAATCATTCAAGAAAGCAGGAACCGCAGGGAGACCATAACTCAAGCAGTGTACCATATCTTCTGAAGAACTGCAGGTAGATCATAATTCAAGGCAGTGTACCATATAGACCATGACATGTTTCAAGGCACAGGCCAAGAAGATTTTGTACTTTTCCACCACCTGGACCCTCTTACCCCCTCCCCTTGTAAAACATGCTATAAAAAAGCATTTCATGTTCAAAAAAAAAAAGAAATTAAAAAAAAAAGAAAAAAAAGAAAAAATAAATAAATAAATAAATAAATGCTATTACTGTGAATTACACAATTAAAAAAAAAAAAAGAAAGCAGGAACCAATAGTTTGGCATGAACCTAAAAGATTGACTACAAATATTAGAGAACATGGGTCAGGAACAAAGATGGTACTGAGCAAATACATCTAGAAGTCAGAATTCATAATGAAACCTGGGATCGGAGAGCTGTTCTGCAGAGGCATGAAGAAACCAGCCATGTAGAGTCGTGATACTGAGTACCTATAAAGAAACCAGCCGTGTGCAGTCCTAATCCCAAGTACCTATAAAGCTGCCAATGTGCAGTAACACTCACTTGTAATCATTCAAGCAATAATCATCTTCAAGCTCCATGTTATTCCAAATTAAGTGCTGCTGACAGATGGGAATACCTTAAGGAAAGGTGATAATAAGAAGTGTTTAAAATTTCAACACCACCTCTAAAGAGATACATCACTGTTTCATTAAAGAGCTCAGAATACTTACGAATTAAACACACTTCTGGTTCAAGGGCTCTGGCCCAATAGCTGTCTTCTTCAGTGTATGACTGGCACCACTATCATTTATCCTGTGGCCAAGAGTAACAACTTCAAAATGTCTTTTGTAATCTTCATCACCTTTACCTTTAAAATCTTTCCTTCACCCAGATTTCTTTAAATACTCATGGTTTGGCATGGTGTACTCACTTCACATTGCAGTGTGAGTCTATTCCCCAAGAATATTAGGAGAATCCCTGATTATTAGTTAATTTGCCATGATGTGGTATATCTGAGTAACACTCACCAAAACCACTTGTTATTTCATAGGCACCAAGAAGCAGCAGCCTACGTTTCATTCGTTACCACTGACTATGTTGATACACTGTTACATGATACCAGCATGGTGTCATCTTAGAAGGTGACAGAAACAGACACTCTACTTCTGCCTCCATAGTGTCCATGATAAAGAATGGTTAAAAAAGCCGGGCGGTGGTGGCATACGCCTTTAATCCCAGCACTTGGGAGGCAGGGGCAGGCGGATTTCTGAATTCGAGAGTTCGAGCCCAGCCTGGTCTACAGAGTGAGTTCCAGGACAGCCAGGGCTACACAGAGAAACCCTGTCTCGAAAAAAAAACGAGAAAAAAAAAAAGAATGGTTAAAAAAAAAAGAACATCACTAAGCAAGCAATAAAAATAGATCATAAGTAGGATGAAGAATCTGATTTCCAGGATTATCACATAATAATATTCAAATATCCAGTTTCATTAAATAACTATGAATCATGCAAAGAAATAAATAGCACATTTATTAAAGAAATCAATAACTATTCCTGAAGAAGCACAAACATTAGATTTACTAGACAAAGGTTGTAAATTATCTAGTAAATATATTCAATGATGACTCAGTGTCAGCCAGGTCCCCCAAAGATCAGGAAGACATCCTGTACCCAACCCAGACACCAACCTATTCAGGGTCATATGACATGCTAGGATCAAGCACTGAAGGACATTCTGTTTCCAGGGGTGAACGGGAACAGAGCTTGGGGTTACCATCAGTAGCCACACAGCTCAGGATGCTGCACTGCCAGCACTGAGCAACAGTTAAGCCAAGGCTACCTCAAGAACTCAAGACACACAAGAAGTAAAGTAACTGTACTGAATTCCAAAGACTGGGGTAGACCTCTTTCTTAATGTCCAGTGTCCTTTGTCATAAGATGTGGTGCAATAAGTAAAAAACAAACAAAACAAAAAAACAAACAAAAAAGAACTTGACTGAACTTTTTTCTTTTAGTTATTCCAGTAGTCACAGGGGAAGAGGTGAAAACTTAAAAGAGTGGTTTTTTTCTATCTTTAAATACTCTAATGTCTTTAACTCTCACTGTAGTGTGGTCTTATGGTTATCTTTTGCTTCATATTTATTTTTCTAAGTGAAATTTCCATGTTTTATATGTATACAATTGCATTTTTAGGTCATTGTGATTGTTTGATGATATATTGTATTAGTATAGAGATTTCTAGATATTAAATAGACATCTTATTAGCAAAATAAATTTCAATCTCAAAATAAAAAGACCAAAGTAAGTGCATGTGAGCACAGGTATTGGATACCAGCTGAGGCTAAAGGAGAGTTTCAAATCCCCTAGAGCTGGAGTTACAATCATGAGCTGCCTAACATGGGTGCTGGCAACTGAGCTCAGGTCTTCTGTAAGAGTGGTATGTACTCTTTACCTCTGAGCCATATCTCCAGCCCACCTACCCACCAGTACATCCTTGCATGGACTACTAGTCTCTGAATTGTCAGAGGGAGATAGTTGGAAAGCAGCCTTCCTGACAGCAGCAACATATTAGCTTTATAGAAAGACAGACTAGGAGGAAATTCTGGGAAACAACAGGAAAGAAACTCCAAACCGTGACTTGGAGGACTGGGTCCTTACTGGGGCTTGCTGTCTTCCTAGAAGGGAGGGATGTAACTGCCAGGGGCTAGAACCTCGCTTCAGATGACAAACTGTAAAATGTATATTTTATTCTCAATAACAAACAGCAGGGAGAGAAGGAGGAGGAGAGGGGGGAAGGGAAGGGGCAAAAGGAGAAGTAGAATAAGGGAGGAGACAGACTTTAAGGGCTGCACCTACCCAGGGCAGGATGGCTCTAGGGGAAATCCTGTCTCCTGAACACTTGACTGCAGCAGTGCCAAAAGCCATTTTAAAAAGCTCCCACCTGAGTCAGCAGCTAGTCAGCTCTAGAAAGGCCCATCTTGCTCAACACACCCTGGGACCCCAGGACATGTGTCTTGGTCCTACAGTCTGAGGGCTGAGGGTGGGGACAACTTTGAGCCATAACTGCACAGCTTCCCAAAAGGTAGGAATTTGGTCTGAGCTTAGACCTGGTAGACCACTTAGATCAAGAATTCTCAACCTATGGGTCATGACCCTTTAGAGATAGAGTGACCCTTTTACAGGGGTTGCCCAAGATCATTGGAAAGCACAGATATTTACATTATAATCTATAACCATAAATTACATTTATAAAATACCAAAAAAAAAATATGGTTGGGCATCACTACAACATGAGAAACTATATTAAAGGGCCACAACATTAGGAAGGTTGAGAACCACTAATTTAGTGGTAGACCTCATACCCAGGAGGGCAACTCAGAAACAGAACCAACACAACTGTGTCTCTGCCCTACTGCCATGAGCAACCAGGCAGATGAAGGGCCATATAACAGCACAGAGGCAGACTGATACATGAGCCACACAGAAGCAGGCCCAGCTGCTTCTTGGGGTCCAAACCTGCCCCAGTAGGAACTACAGAGATGGATCAGCAATTCCTCCATTCCTGGACCTCCCCATTCCCCAAAGACATCACAGAGCCAGGACCAACATCCACACAACAGTTCCATAAGGCAGGACCTACATACACATCTACTCTAGCAAGACACTTCACAAAAGAAGACCTTCTCAACCCTTCATTCTGTCAAGGCAGGAAAAGCATAAAGAGTCTGTACTTCTCACAGAATTCTCTCTCCTTCCCCTCGCAAGAAAACCACGTAATTATGTAGTGAGTTTCACATGTGTATATAATGTATTGTAATCATATTAACCCCTTTATTCTCTCTCAATCTCCCAGCTACTCCTTCTCCCAGCAGTTCCCCTCCTACTTCATGATTTTCTACCTGACCCGCTGAATTGAATTTGGGCTGCCTACATGAGCATGGATGTAGTGTCATTTACTAGTGTATGAAAACTTAGCAATGGCTGCAGCACTGAAACAAAATCACTCACTCAGCTCAACAGCCATTGACTGGCAACAGCTTCAGGAGTGTTATCTCATAAACACCCTCCCCCAGTCCAGTCTGGGATGCTCCATCTTATACAGGCAACCTCAGCCTTGGATTCACGAATATAATAGTCATATTGTGATCATAAGACAATCTCAGGATACACCTCTGCATCCCCTGGGTCTTAATTCATTCTGCACTTCTCCAGTATTCCCTGAACCTTGAGGCAGTATGAGGTAAAAGTCTCATTTGGGGCTGAGTGCTCAACAGTCACTCTGAGCACTCTGACTAGTTATGAGTCTCTGCATTAACCACTGCCTACTGCAAAAGGTTGCTCTTACTACAGGTGGCAGCAGCACAAATCTATAATTATAAACATAATATTTCTAAGGCATTTTGACATAGGTCCATTTAGCAAGATAGTAATAACAATAATTTCAAATTCTAAGGCCTACAAGCTCCATAGCCATGGATTTTATGGTATCAGACATGGACTCCCTCCTGTGGTATGGGCTCAGATCCAATCAGAGAGTGACTACCCACTGGCCATTTACATTGCAGTTCAGTATTTCAGTGTGAAGGGCCACATCTGGGAAAGACCATAGATCAATTTTCTCCCCCAGTGCAGCAACTTATAGCACAGTGAAGAAGTGTCTAGCTTATTTACAGCTTGATTTCTCTATGTCTTGCTAACAAACTGGACTGTGTCTTCAGCAACTGAGTTCTACCATCTGGCTCTGGTGGGCAACCAAGAGTAAGAATAGGTCTTATTGCTTTGGGTACCTCTGGGGACTTCCTGATAAATAACTTGTAAGGAGAATATACATCTGGCACTGGGATTTTGGTTTAATAATCTAAGACTTCTGGGAGTAGCATTAACTACCCAAGCAAGATACCTCTAGGTTCAAACTCCTTTTTTTAAAAAACATTTATTTACATGACATTTTTTTAACTTTTTTTTCTTTTAACTACCTGCCTCTTTTGGTACTAATGTAGATAAATGGAAAGATGAACTATTTGCAAAATTTCCATTACTGTGTGGAAGTTACATAACTCTATATAATTATTCCAAAATTGCAAATGATCATACCCAATATAATACCTGTAGATAGCCACAGCTGTGCAGTTCTTATCCTGAGCCCTCTTTATTGCAAGTAATTTCACCTTGATTTAAAAGCTACTATTAACAGGATTTTAATTCTCTTTTGATTTTCTTAAGCCTTCACATGTTTTATTAAGCACTTTCCAACAAGTGTCCCATTATTTTGCTCCAGCTGTACTGACCCAGGCAACCAAGCCAACCTGCAGGGTTTCCTATGTGAAGGACTTGCCTTATTCTTTCATGAGAGTGTATTACCAGTAATACAAATATCTTCATTTGTTCTCATCCACTGTCCTTGCACTTCCATTACTATGAATAAAAAGTCTACTATTAAGTCCAGATCTTGGCTTATAATGCATTCTCTAATTAAAAGCAGAAAACATTGCTCCTTGGAAAATCAGTTGGACTGGTCAGTTTTTGTCAACTTGACACACACTAGAGTCATCTGTCAAGAGAGAACCTCAATGAGAAACTCATTCTATCAGAATAGCAGTGGCACTGACATAAGCTACTGGCAAAGGTGCAGCCTCATCAGCAATGCAGGCCCCAGGACTGATGGAGTCATGGAGAGAAGTTGAGGCTTAGCACTCCAGGAAGCCAAGAATGGTTATTAATGAAGATGCAGCTTCAGTAGCTGTGGAGACCACAGCACATGTGACTCTCAGAGCCCTGCCAAGCACAGGAGCAGGTATGGAGTGGAGCCAGCCTGAGCCTAAGAGAGAGTTGTGTGTAGCATGGATGACAGAGCTGATAGGAGGGACTACCTAAGTGCGAGTGCCAGGCTGTGGACACTGAACTGTCTATACTGTGGAATTTGATTTGGTTGTACTCTAAGTATAATTGTGCACTGGTTCTTCACACTTAACACAAGAAAGTATATACCTTGGTTTTTATTTTACAGGAACCCACAGCTAAGGGACTTTGAACCTTTTTTTTCCAAGACAGGGTTTCTCTGTATAATAGCAGCCCTGGTTGTTCCTGAACTCCTTGAGACCAGGATGGCCTCAGATTCACAGAGACACAGCTGGCTCTGCCTCCCAGGTGCTGGGATTACATCATTAAAGACATGTGCAACCATGCCAGCCAAGAATTTGGGTTTTTAAATCAGTGGAAATTTTGAAGACTATGGGACTTTCAAAGTTATACTGTATATTAAAGTTATATTGTATATTATATCGTGATACTAACATGATATCGGGGACAAAGGGGGGAAAAGATTATGAGTTAACTAATGTATCTGTGTGTCAGATTGACAAGGGGTAGACTTGTTGGTTAGATTTTGCCAATTTAACACAAACCTAGACATATCTGGGCTAAGGGAATCTTAATTGAGGAACTGCCTCCATCAGATTGGCCTGTGAGGCACGCATTATTAATTGATGTAGGAGGACCCCGCCCGATTTGGATCCTGCCACTGCTACTCAAGTGGGTCTTGCCATACAAGAATAGAAATTATCCAAGCTAGGATACATAAGACTTTGTCTCAAAAAAAAGAAAGAAGTTGAGAGGAGGGAAGGGGAAGGGAAGAGAGGGAAGGAGACAGGAGGAGAGGAGGGGGAGGGGAGGAGAGGGAGAGAACATTTATTTAGGGAACAGCAATGCCAAAGCTGAGGGCACAAGGACCCCACTGCTCCAGACAGCCCCTTATGCTTCTGGCATACACTTCTTTCTAAAGTCTAGCACAGTGTTTTGCACACCTCCTGGAAGGGCTGTCCACACCTTTGTAAACCACTGCTCTGGTTAGTAAGCTCCAGGAAGTGAGTTAGAAAGGCAAGGTATATCCTTCCTCAAGTGTACAGCGCATCAGGTTCTCAGAAACACACGACATCTCCAGACTAGGAGATAAGGAAAATGGGCATTTTACACTTGGTAATTCATGTAATCCTGAGATCATTTGCAACAACTGTAACTGTCGTTATTCCTATTTTTGAGATTAAGAAATATGAATTTGAGAGGCAGCAAGATGTGGTTAACATGCAGTGATGGATCAGTGGGTAAAGCCTGATGGAGCCTGTTCCCCAAGAACTACAGAGTGGAAAGAGGGACTCAAGTCCAACAGCTGTGCTCTCACCTCACAGGTGTGCTGTGACAAGCACACACGAATGTGTATGTATACACACATAACTAAAACTGTGACTTTAGAAATTAATGGTATTTTCTTAGTGAATTTGCTGCTTCTGCCCCTTCCAGACCCATTTGCAGTTCCTGTCAGCTACTGCTTCCCTCAGTGCAGTCACCCCAGGTCACCATGGTCTCCTCAGCCTATCCCTCCACAGAGCCCTTCTGTCTCCCCTCCCACCAGGCACTAGTTCTGAACTCATCAAAAGTTACCCAAAGGAAAAGCCTTCTGGAGGAACAACCATTTCCTCTGCAGGACTAACTCAAGCACTGTCCCCTCTGTCCTCTCCAGCCAAATCTTGCTAATTGGAGTCTTGATAGTCTTCCCATGTTAGCTCCAATTGACGTCCAGTGAGGAAGAACAAAGGCCATCCAGAAAAGGATTTAAATTGATTTTTCATGAAGGCTGTTCTTTTGAAGTCTCCTGCAGAACACAATGACTGTCACTGCCTTTGTCGCTTAAAAAAAACAAGGGTGCATGTGCCATTTTTTGGTGTGGTTCTAGACTCAGCTACCTCTTAACACTACCTTAAGGGAAAGGGACAAAGGAAAAGCAAATATTCAAAACCTCAAATACCCAGAATCTTTGATCTCACACAGACCGAACAATTCCACCCACTCTCATCCTTCTGTAATTCTGTATTTAAGTTGGCTGGAAAACAGTTCTAATTAGAATCTTCATATTACAAACAAGTTCCAGTTAACTCTCCCAGAACAGATCTATTGAGTGTTATATGGAATAATTTAATTTTCTAGCCCAAACTGGACAACTATAAATGGTAATCTGGAAGAGCAATTTTAACAAAAGTTACCTATGACACCACCAACATGTACACCACAAAAAGATATTACATGTCATCCAAAACCCTTGCTATATTAGAGGGACTTTGAATATATGTAAATGAAACCTACAGCTTTCAGAAAATCTCCACATGGTACAAAAGGATTTACAAAGTGGTGAGAAAAAAAAAGCAAATTCCCTAAAAGGAAATATTTCCCATTAAAAGCAACTGCAAAGTAGTCATAGTACAATTTGTGCATCATCCTACCTTACAGAAGACTATTTTGAAATATTTATCTTATGCCATTAACATGATGCTGGAGATCTGAATTGAGACAATCTTGTGAAGAGAGCAAGGCAGGAAAACAAGATTATAAAGAAGGTGGTTTCTAAGCTGGAAGCGGATGAAGGCATGGTGGGGATTTTATTAGCCTATCATCATATGCTTAAACTTTTACATTTAAATTTTGTCCACTAAAAAGCTTATGTTTAATCTTCATATTATAGAAGCAAAGACTAAAAAACTTATAAGATGCTTTATCCTCATATTGTACAAAGACTAGTACCTTCCAATCTTTGAATTTTTCCTTTCACAGAGATAATAGCTTCAAAGGGTGAAACTCTTAGTTCAAAACATGTTCCAGTCAAGGTTTCGATGAAGAGTTCCATGGTGTCATAGAAAGGAAGTTTGAAATAAAATGGTCCCACGTTATCTTCATTGAAGAATGGAGGCTCTTTTCTGTTATCCATTACTTTGACTTTTCTAATTCTTCTGGAATATGTTGTATGCAACTGTATTCCAATTCTACCCAAATCAGCTTTGAACATTGGTAATATGTATCGTTGTTCATGTTTGAGTTTTGTACCTGAATAAAACAAAAATTAGCTTTTTAAAGCAAATCTGTCTGAAACTCCCTCCTTCACTCATATTTTCTGAAAAATTCTCACTCACACTCATCTTCCAAACCGTCTAAGAACTAATGCAGAGAGAGACCCTGGAACACCCAGTACTAACTGGGATGTCTCTATTAAATCCTTCCCCTCAGACCTTAGGGAACCCTGTGGAAAAGGAGGGGGGAAGAGTGTAAGAGCCAAGGGGATTAAGGACACCAAGAAAACAAGACCCTCTAATTCAACAGGAGCAAAGCTCATGTGAACTCAGAGACTGAAGCAGCATGCACAGAGCCTGCACGGGTTGGCACCAGGTCCTCTGCACTTATGCCTTCCAGATCAGTGTTTCTGTGGGATTTCTGAGTGTGCAAATGAATGAGTCTCTGATTCCTGTGCCTTCTCTTGCCCTCTTTTCCCTCTGTTGGTTTGCCTTGCCCAACTTCAATGTGATAGGGTTTTTTTTTGTTTTATCTTATTATATTTTATTTTGTTATATTTTTAAAAATGAATAAATGAAAACCTAGCTACTAGGGTAAAAGTTAACCACTGAACTGTCAATGAGCTGACATCAATCACTTCAGGGTAGGCCTCATGTTCAGGAGTAGTTGACCAAACACAGAACATACGCCATAATTTTTTTGAATGCTCTTGTTTGGTTACAGTTTGGTGAGGGGGAGTTGTTTCTTCTTTTGATGTATTTTATTTTGTTTCTTTGGTTTTGTTGTGTAAGGTTTTTGTTTTTTGAGAAAACTTAAAGTGGGTGGGTAGGGAGGGGAGAGGAGGAGGACTTGGGGAAGAAGAATATGATCAAATTGTATGTTTTAAAATTGTTTTAAATAATAGATACTATTCTAACTATGAGCCACATGTAGGATATAGGATTGGCAAATACTTTCTTCCATTCTGTAAGCTGGTCTTTGACTTCTTGGTAATGTATTTTCAAATTCAATTCTCAACTGAAGAAGCTCAGTCTTGCCATTTGTTATTGGAGTTAGAAACACTGACCTAACTCAAGGCAGTAAATGTACACACATTTTTCCCAAGAATTGCAGTTTTAGATTTAGTGTTCTTTCTGAATAGGGATCCAACTTTATTCTTTTGCACAGAGAAAATCAATTATTTCGAGTATCATTTGTTGGAAAGACTATGCTAGCTCCATTAAATTCCTAGAATTCTTACAGAAAACTGATTATAAACATGAGGGGCCTTACTCCTGACTCATTTCACTACACTGGCCTCTCAGTGCATCTCCCACAGTTCTGACTACTCTAACTTGACTAAGTTTGGGGATTAGAAAATAGTCCCTCTTCTAATCTGTGTTTTTTTGTCATACACTGTGTATTAGAATACAAGTGATTTCAACATATTGATCTTGTACACTGCCACTGCATCTACTATATTCAAACTGCTTTTAATGGATTCCTTGGAATCGTCTGCATTTAACCCTATATACAAAATAGGTACAAATAGCCTTTTCTTCCTCTCCAATATAAATGCTCTTTCTTTTTCATATTTAATTCCCCTTAGAACATAGAGTACAAGGTTGATTCTATGTAAGTGAACTGGAAATCTTTGCCTTTTTCTTGATTATAGGAGGAAGGAATTGAGTCTTTTAGGTATGTCAGCTGTCAGGTTTCATACATAACTTTATCCAGGTTGAAAATTTCCTGATTATTTCCACATTGCTTAGGAATTTGTTTTACTTTAAACCACAAAAGGTACAGATTTTCTAAGATATTTTTCAGTGTCTATTAAGTGATCACATGGTTTTCATTTGTTTATAACTAATATGGTATATTACATTGATTTATTTTTGTGTTAACTCATCCTGCATTCCTGGAACAAAATCCCATTTGTGTATATAGTACTCTTTGGATAGACTGGCAGACAGACAGACAGACAGACAGACAGACAGACAGAGATGAACTTGATCAGGAAATATCTCTTGAGGATCCTGTGTCTAATCCGTTGTTAAGAGGTTTCAAAATGTTTCTTCCCCTTCTTTCTCTTCCCTCCTTCTCCTCTCCTTCCACCTTCTCTCCAACCAGTCCTTGCAGTTTTATGTCATTGTTTGGTTCTTTGTGTCTAGGCATGTTAGCCTCGTGAATAAGTGGGGAAGTAGTCCTTAAAGATAGGCAAACTTTTTTTTTTTGATGCTGGGGATCAAACCATGGACTTGTGCATGATAAGCAAACACTCAACCTGAGCAGCTTCTCCAGCCCATAGTAAAAATTTGAGTTTATTTCATTATGGGAAAAGCCTGAGAGCACGGGAAAGATATCAACAAGCAACCCTACCTAAAAGGAAGTTAACACTATTGTGAAAGTCAAAGTCAAAAGTAACTATGGATTGATTATACAATAATTTCAAATGTTTCCTACCAAAAGAATATGTGGTATCACTGAGGTCACTCTAACTTTCATAAACATTTACTTTTTATTTATTTTCAAGTCAGGGTGTCATTATAGAGTCCAGACTGGCCTCATGCTTATGGCCCTCCTGTCTCACATTTCCCCAGTGCTGGGATTATAGGTATATGCTACAATGACTGGCTAGAAATGTATTTAAAAGTGCACTTCTTTTTCAAAGATTGTGTTTGGCTAATAAATATCACTGTAAAAGCATGGCCTAGGTATCTGTAATCCAGACACTCCAAAGATATGTGCAATTCAATATATACAAAAATAGCCCCTCTCTCAAAAGGTCTTGTCTTGCAGTCCTCATCTGGTTAAAGCATACCATGATGCATCAATTCATTCAAGCCGGAATTTAGGATCTCTCACAAACACCATGACAGCTTCAAGTGACCAATCCCGACAATGCACCTTACACCTTCTATCCTGTCAACCTCTCCATTCGCTGATTAGGACTTAATTCAGGTTTTCTTCAGCTTACAACTCAGCAACTCTCCCAGATGATTTGATTCCTACACTTAACTAGAATAGCCAGCCATGGATTTGTGGTTGTTTAACTTTTGGAAAGAAAGTTTCTAGGAACTGGCTAAGGGTATTATTTTAACCCATTATTTAGTAGTTACTTTCCATTGTCTATGTTTAAGCAGGAGGGAAGCGCCACTTGGGATTAATTATAAGAGAGGAATAGATACAGCGCTGTCACCCAAGCCCAAAGTTTACATTAGAGTTTACTCTTGGTGGTGTACATCTGACAGGAATGGGATATATAAAAGCATGTATTTACCACTACAGTATCAGAGTAGTGGCAGGAGTCTAAATACTCTGTGTTGGGGCTGTTGATCCCTCACATTCTAGGCATTCTACCCCTCAAATTCTAGGCAACTTTTGATCTTTTTAGTGTTTCCATAGCGTCACCATTTCCAGAATGTCATGTAATTGGAATCACACAATATGCAACCTTTTCAGAGTGGTCTCTCTAAGGAACACACATTTAAGGCTCTTTTATGCCATTTCATGGCTTCATAGCTTTCCTTTAAGTGCTAAATTATATTCTATTGTGTGTATGCATTAGTTTCATTTATCCATTCTCCTAAGAAATATCTTACATTCTCCATTTTATGACAATTAGAAAACAAAACTGTATACAGATTATGCTGATGGTTTTTTTTTACTTATTTAGGCTAGATTTTAATATGAGTATCTTTATTTTAGCCTTTTGTGCACATGTGTACACTGTGAGCATGTATATATTTGCATGTGGAGACCAGCGGTCAACATCAGATTACCTCCTCTATCATTTTCCACTTTATATTCTTTTTTGAAGAATTATTTATTATCTTATGTGTATGAGTACACTGTAGCTGTCTTCAGACACACACCAGAAGAGGGCATCAGATCCCAGTACAGATGGTTGTGAGCCATCATGTGGTTGCTGGGAATTGAACTCAGGACCTCTGGAAGAGCAGTCAATGCTCTTAACTGCTGAGGCATCTCTCCAGCCCCCTTTTATATTCTTAAGGCATCACTGATCCTCTCATCCATTCCGCATGACTGGGTAACTGGCAGGGCGAGGGCTCCTCATCCTAGCCCTTAGAGCACAGGTGCATGCTGCTGTGCCTAGCTTTCCACACAAGTTCTGGGGAGCCAAGCTAAAATCCTCATGTACAGTTAGTAATTTACCTTCAACAGCTGAGCCATACCACCAGCCCCATTGTGTTTGTTTTTCTTTTAAAGAAATTGGCACACAATATGCAAAAGTAGTGAAATCATTCTGATTTTTTTGTTTTGTTTTGTTTTGTTTTGTTTTGTTTTGTTTTGTTTTGTTTTGTTTTGTCGAGACAGGGTTTCTCTGTATAGCCCTGGCTGTCCTGGAACTCACTCTGTAAACCAGGCTGGCCTCGAACTCAGAAATCCGCCTGCCTCTACCTCCCAAGTGCTGGGATTAAAGGCGTGCGCCATCACTGCCTGGCATCATTCTGATTTCTTACACCAGTGAATGAAGAGTTCCTATCACTTCAGGCCATCACATCATTTTGCACTATAGGTGTTCTGGGTTTTGGCTTCAATTGGCAATTTTCTAATGACCTAGGATGTAAGCACAGCGATCCTTTGAAAATATAAACTGATCCTATCATTTCTAGCTCAAGGCCCTATCATGGCTTCCATCATCTGGGCAACAATGTTCAAACTCCTTGGAAAGACTTTCCAACATACATATTTCATCTCCCAGCCCATGTTCAGTCACCTACACTTCCCCCAGCAGTACCTGTGCTCCTTCTACCTCTAGCCGTAGCCCCTATCTTATTGCTCCTGTTCTGTTCTACTCAGATCAACTCTGTATGAGGCTTCCTGAGAAGCACCTTTCAAAACTCAGCTCCACGGATGGGGCACACTTCAAGGAGAATGCCTGCTTACAATGCAAAGCCTGGGTAATAACCAGTGCAGCACCTCTCCCCAAAGCCTTATCTCCAATATCAACTACCCCACAAAATCTTTTATACTTACTATCTTTTGCACCCATGTCATATACGATACCCATCAAAACTGGACTGCTTCCGTGTCTGTCACCTGTGCTGGTAAACTACAGGTGTTGCAAGGGAGGGACGACGCCTATCACTCACTACAGTCGTCTGCACACATTAGCGAGCATTAAAGGTTGTTCAATGAAACTCAATTCAAAGCAACTCCCTTTCTCCACTAATCCTTAGATTAGACAAACTTAATAGGCAAATAAATAAGGGTATTATCCTGTCATAGAAACGAAACAGTGGTTATATTCCAAAATGATAAACACATATACACAGACACTTCTGCTGTTGAGAGGAGTTCTCAGAATTCTAATATAAAACATTCTTAGGAAGCTTGAATTGTGCAGATAGCTAATGCTCCTTTAAAAATGGCATCACAGGAAGAAACGTTGTTGCTGAGAGCACAGTTGTCTGAGTGGAGTTACACACATAGGAAACAGTGAGTAACAAACAGCAGCAGCAACACAAGGACTGTGCTACCAGTACTATGGGTCAGAGTTGCAAGAGCACACTACTGTAACAGTGGTACTGTTTGGATTTCACTATGAACTCTTACATCATTCATAGTGTGAAGCTTGGTGATAAGAGTACATTTCTAGCACATATTAGGCCCTGGGCTCAATCTGCAATTTCACAAACAAAACAAAACAGCATTATAAAAAGAAAAAAAACAAAAAAACAGCATTATAGTGAAATACCCATAGGCAACATGCAGATTTTTTTCAAAGCACAGATCTGAAATGAGACTAGATAAAGTGACTATAAGTAGAAGAAAATCAGCGTTGCAGTAGGTACATCATCAATGGTGCAGGAACTTCCAAATTAAGTTTGGTTCCAGTATAATTTTCAGTATACAAAAAGGGCCAAGAGTGGTAACCATAACTGAAAACAATTGTGTGTTATACTTCTCAGTAAAGAAAATCAATGTAACAAGTCAAAAGAGGGTTATGCAGGCCAGCTAAACCACAGCAGAATACTGTGGTCGAGTGGGAGCTCAAGCGGGCCACTGACCAGGTGTACTAAAATTGGGTCCACTGCAAGCATCCTCAGAGTGGCCTGTGGTCTGCATGTATGAGCACTGGAAAACCAATTGACAATGAAAACGTATAGTGATGGGAAACAGTGTAAGTAAAAACAATGCTTAAATTGATAAGCTATCTTTAAAACTGGGAGAGAAAAATCAAAGTGAATCTTCAACATTTCATCTTTTGAAATTTCTAAAACCAACCACAAAAGCGGCAATAACTGCACTCAAGGAGTAATTTCAGTACCTTGGACTTTGTTTCCTTCTCGTCCACAGGAACTTAGTCACACGACGAGTTAGTTTTTAAATTTTTCCCCCAACATAAATATACCTACAATAAGTTGCAGCCTTTTAAAAAGGTGACTCTTGTACTTTTACAGATGTGTGAAAATCAAGCTATAGATTGGAATCACACTCTAGCCTAGGACCGATGCACAAGTGCAGGTGTGCCGCCCTGGGGCCAGGGGCCACAACCGGCAGAGACCACACTCAGACCCAAAGTGGTGTCAGCAGCACCCGGAGCCACCGTGAGTCCGTAGGCAGAGAAGCGCGGAGGGTGTGACCAGGCTGCAGCTGAGGCGGGCGCACCTCTCCCGCCTGCCAGGGCAGCAAAGGCGCAGCCGCCCCTTCAGCCGCCGGCCCTCCCGGCCGCGCCCCGCCCCGCCCCGCCGCGCCCCTCACCCGCTCGCCCTCCGGTGGTCGCGTCCGCCCGCTCGCTCTCTTGCCTGCCCGCAGGCCGATAGGAGTGCGCGCACCCGAGACGCCGGCCGACGCTGGCCCGCGAAGCTCCGGCCCCGCCCTTTGTGACACCGCTCACCAATCACTAATCAGCGCTATCGACACCCTCCAATCAGCCCGTAAGGGGCGGGGCCTAGCCTTCCGAGGCTGGCGGTTGCTCGGACGCCGGGATCGCTCGGGGGTTCTGGAAGGTTTGTCGGTTAGAAGAGGCCCGGATGTTGACTCTTTATTACTGATAGCAGGACCCGTCTCGGGCAAGACAGGAGACTGGAGGCCGGCCAGTTCCTGGGAAGAGCCGGCGCCAGAGTAGAGGCCCTTGACTGGGGCACTTCTAAGGTTCTTTGGGGATAGCAGGGTCTTTGGCATTTGTGAAATACCAATGGCCTTTCCAGAGCCTAGGACACTTAAAAGGACGTCCAAGCTAGTCACCCTTTTTTGTGCTCTACGTTCTCCTAACATTTCTGATTCAATTGTGTCATCTATAAAATGGGGACGTTCTTATGACTTGCTTATAAGGGTTTGTGACTTTCTATATGCCTGTTGCATTTGAACAACTACTGAAGATTATAGTTCAAACAGGTCACACCCTGGGCTCAAATCCCAGCATCCTTTTGCTGTGCACCGAGCTGCTGAAGTGGGATATAAACTTACGGGCTTTATGACTACACATGCCTTCCATCTAAGTTGGGCCCCTACTGCTTCATTCCCTTCACAGGTGGTTCAACTCAAGTGTTTTATTAGGTGGACTGCAGCGGAGGATCATGAAACCTCTCCCTCATAGTCAATGAACCCTGCCCCTGATCAGTCTTCTCCCACCCTCTACCCTCTGAAACTTCAGCCACTAGTCTCCAGTTCCAACTACTCAGTACCGAGGTGGACGGCCTACCGGTATGGTGAGGCCCTGGGCTCTTGTGGGCCTCCTGCTCTTAAACTCAGCCCATGATTGGCTTATAACTTCAAACTCTATGGAGGACAGAGCCATGATGGTAACATAAACAGAGACTAGGAGAACAGCGCCTGTGCTGGAAATGGTGACTACAAATACCTCACAGCATAGGCTCTGGAATCCAGTGGGTGAGCTTAGAGTTTTTAGCTTCTTTAACTTTCCATTCCCTCATCAAGCTGTATCATCAATGTCGTAACCTACCGTTTTAAGAGGCAGACTAATAAAAGGGTCTATTCTCAACAATAATCTTGCAAGTTTAGTACTGAAACCATTTACAAAGAAGGAAACAAAAGGTAAGAAAGGCAAAACGTTGCCTACAATTAAACCATCCCATTTCCTGCAACTAATAAACTCTGACTTGGTAGCCTGAATCCAGCCAGATAATGTGACCATGATGGAATGGCTGTGTTCCATAAAACTTTCTTTACAATATCAGGACAGCAGAGGACCACAGTTTCCCCTTAGAAGATGGAAGACCCATTTTTGGAATTCAGTAGAAAGCTTTTCTCATGAGCTTAGAACCATAAATGCATAACCTTTCACCTCCTTCCTCTTCCGCCTGCCTAGACTGTCACAGCACTAAAACCCACCCACTAACAGAGCAAAAACTTCAAGTCGGCTGTCTGCATTCCCTGCCCACAGAGGAAGCCACAAAGCGATTTCTTCTGCTAACATATGCTTCTATGCCCTCTTATTAAGTAAAAACAAACCACTGTGAAGCATTTTATTTTTTATTTGTAATTTTAAGCATAATTAAAATGAATGCTGAAAAATATTAGCTACAATGGGTAAAAGTAGAAGTGATTGTTTCACTATTTGCCTGTAATCCAGTGAAGACGAGAGTGTAGGAGAATGCATCACAAAGGAGGAATGAACTGTCAAGGCCCTGCATGCTCTACTGGCTTCCAAAGGCATTCAGGGGGTCATCAAAAATGTTGGACACTTTGTGCTCAGATCTTAGTTCAGATGCTGCCTCGGCAGATTGGCTTTTGGGTTTGGATGCTTTAGCCTGGAGGCCTGAGGAGAAAATATCATCTTTAAAAAGAAAAAAAGAAAGTTGTTAAGACAGGCAAGAAAGAAAATGGGAATCTGAGACACATGCACACAAATTGCCAAAGCCCAATTCTAACAACACACAATAGAGCATCAGGATGAAGGTCAAACCTCTTAGATTCTGATCCTGGCTCAGTTGGTGGCACCCAACTTTTATAACGACATACGAACATCAGGTTCTTTCTGAACGTAAGTTTCTAGCTACAAAAGTGTATGTGCACTTGAAGTCAGAAGGTGGACCAGCTCTCCACTTCAGCAAGGGCCTTACCACCTGAAACTGTTTTCTACCTTCTTTTCACCCTGGAATTTAAGAAGAGTAAAAATGTACAAAGGGAACTCCAATCTAGGAGGCACTCAGTCCAGTTGGCTGTAACTTATCAATGGTGAGAATGAAGTCTGATTTACTCATGTTAGTGCTGCAGACGCTAAAGCTCCTCTCACCTATGCTGCTTACTAAGTAATTATATTGTAGGACTCTACTGCATCCAATTTATCCTGTGTATGTAGACATACATACATAGTGATAAAGACCGCATTATCTATAACAAACTAGAAACGATCTAGATTGTCAATATGCTAATGGATAATGCAAAGCAGTATTATTCAAAACATCAAAAAAAAATCAAAGGAGATTTCCATATACGAACATGGAAACATATTTAAAATATGACTAGAAGTAGAACAGGTATACTTGTTCACTATTACTACTATGTAAATATACAATCGCAAAGGATGTACAACAAACTATTAATACTGGTTAGCTTTAAAGCTTTAATCCCCCCACTTAACAAAATTTTCTAAGTTGTATGACTGCTACCATAAGCATGTATTACAATTTAATAATGAAAGAAAGTCATGCCTGTAACCCCAGCTAAGATCAGGAGTGTATAGTCAGCCAGGGCTACAGCAAGATCATGTATCAAAAAATGAACAAAGGAAATAAGCAACCCAAGTCTCTTCTACACTCTATGCTGTAAGACAGACACATGACAACGGAGCACAAGGTCTGTCAGGGAGACAGACTCAGTGTAGCTCTGTAACTCAAGGCCCAGGCCTGGAGGGACAAAGAGAGGACATGTATTTTTGGCTTCAGTCGGGGTCAACCAACACAGGATGTCTCGGGAGTCCAACATTTATAGCTATCAGCATTTGGCTTGTTAGCTGCGGCTGCAGCAGGTTCAGAAATACAAAGGACCTCGGAGCGGCCAAGTCTCACTTGTGACTTCACTGCACAGCCCTGCTCTCTTGTACTGAGCCTCCAGTCTCCAGGCTAGAATCCTGACTCAACCAGCTTCATGGCCTGCTGACAGCATGTGAAAGAAGTTTCTGATGGACTCTCCTTTCAAATCATCAGTGTTGTCAGAAGTTAATTTCTACTTCAGATCAAATGCTGAACACCATCTTAAACCTTGATACTCAGCATAGCATATGGCTGCCACATGAAAATGTCCACCTACATATCACGTTCTTAGACTAACAAAGCAAAGAGAACCTACTGGAGAACAAAGTGCAGGAAAGGGCCACCACGAACGACAGGAAAAGTCAGCCCATGAGCAGTGGTATCATCTAAATAAACACTCACCCGTATCATCGTCAAACATGGACTTGGCTGCAACTTTCTTTTTGGGCTTTTCTTTAGGTTTTACAGTTAAGTCAGCGAAGATATCAATATTATCATCAAATAAGTTGGGTTCCAAAGTTCTCTCCTTCTCTCTTTTTTTTGGAAAAGGTTTAATTGCTTCTGTAGCAAATATATCATCCTAGTTAAGTCCAAAAATATTTTTTGTAAATAAAAGCATTTTAAAAACTAAAATAGCTCAATAATTTATAGAAATGAACTGTCACACAGTCTCCCCTGAAGACTGGAAGACACACCCACGTGTCTGTCCAACTCGGCAGCTCTGCAGTGAGGTCCTGAGGGTGGCCTGGAGAACACCGGCTCACTGCACCCCGCCACTCTGCCCCACATAGTTTTCTTCATGACATTTCATGCCGTCTGCGATCACCTTAACTACCTGCTGCTCAGTTTGGATCTCAGTCCTTGAGCTCTCAGGACAGAACACATGTCCTAGCTATCCCATTAGCCCCGGGCCACTGTGTTCTATAAACATCTGTTAAACAACTGCTACGAAAGCCTTAGTGTCAAAACTCTGCTAAACGGAGTCCCAACCTGAAGCAGAGCTTAAATACACAGCTGTGCCGATAGAGGTCATACATGTCACAGAATGACATGCCAACAAAGCTGACCACAGCACCATTCTAAAAACTCACAAAGGTGACCACAGCACCATTCTAAAAACTCTTAACAAAATTAATTAAAATCACGTACACACTATACTATACTATACTATACTATACTATACTATACTATACTATACTATACTATACAGTATATAAAGAGACCCAGGGCTTATGCTGTGATTCCGTACAGCATCTGCCTAACGTACTGGGTTTTGAGCTCTATCCCCAGTACTATACAATAACATTTTAAAAATAATAATTCAACACATAATAGATTAAAGGCAGCAAGAACTACCCCTGAGTGAAACAAAGCACTTCAAGTGAATTTTCGGGCTGATAACAAAAAGATCTCACTGTGGCTAATAAGTAGACAGCAAACAGCACAGAACACAAAGCATAATCTATAGTTCAAGAAGCCAATCAGCTACTTCCCTTAAAGGCTCAAACATGAAATAATTTGTGTTACCTCAAAGATGTCTTCAGTTTTTGACACAATGTCCTGATGGCTGTCAGATTTCCTCTCATTCTTTTTGCCTTTCTGATCTGCAAAGAGATCTTCCTCATCTTCAAGGAGTGGGAAAGGATTTCTTGTCTTTGTTGGCCTTGGTTTGACAGACTGGAAAAGATCCTCGGCACTGCTGTCCTCACTGAGATCAGGAAACACCAGACTCTTCTCCTTACACCCTCCTGACAAGTGGGCCGGGGTCTCCCCTGCCTTGACACTTGTTCCCTCCATGGACTGTGATCCTATGCTCTTGGGAAAGCTGTCCCCAGAATCAAACAGGTCAGCCTCATTTCCAGTCTGAGACAGGGACTTTACAAAGAAGCTTCTGTCCACTGTAGATAAAACAGGACCACCTTCCCAAGGTGGGGCTATAGATTTCTCAGATACAGTCTCTCCACTGGCCATCCTGGGCTGCAGAAGAGATTGATGGCCGTTTGGTAAGACAGGACTACTGCTCAACTGTGCAACAGGTCCTCTATCGACAGTCACGTCCTCAGCCTCACTGGACTCCTGGGCAGCCAGGCGCCGAGCAGCACGGGTCTGTGGTCTCCGCTTTCCTCTCACTTTAACACGACTCTGCAATGGCAAACACACACACATACCATGATCTGATGGAAATGTGTTCAAGGCTAACAGCAAAGACTCTAATTCAAAATACTATAATTCTATTTGGCTTACTTCAATTAGGCTATCACCTAAAACAGTGGTTCTCAACCTTCCTAACACGATAATCCTTTAATACAATTCCTTATGTCATGGTGACCCAAAAGTATAAAATTATTTTATTGCTACTTCATAACTATAGTTTTGCTACTTTTATCTCAATGTAAATAATATTCAGGATATCTGGTATATGGCCCTGAAGGAGTCACAACCCACAGGTTGAGAATGACTGACCTAAAGGAAAGAAAAGGTTGTTTAATGTTCCTAAAGAAGTTAACAAGTTATTACTCCAGGACTTCATCCTTCTTAACACTTTAGTAGTCTCTGTTTTCTAAGCTTTTATTAAATATATTTTAGTTCACGAGTATTGTATTCTGCCTGTACCATGTGTATGCAATGCCTGGAGGCCATAAAAAGGCATCAGATGTCCTGGAACTGAAGTTGTGAGCAGCCCCATGGGTGCTGGGAATTCAACCCCAGTCCTCTGAAGCAGACAGTGTTCTCTCTCAACTCATTTCCGCCACCTCCTACTCCTGTTTTATAATCTTTTGTCAACAGTTTCCTATAAAAAGGCTCAATGTTGCTGGAACTCAGCAAGCAGGTGTGCTGGTGTTCTGTGACTCAAAACACACGTCACAAACCTGGCACCTCCTAAACCCTGAATTCACAGGTACCGTACAAAAAAGAGCTGAGAGGGCCTCGAGCACCAACTCGATAAGGATCTAGGAGCAAGGAGAGATGAGGCAATGGAGAAGCAACGGACGGTGCTGTTCTCTTCCAAGTCAAAAACATCAATTCAACTGTTAGACAGTGTATGTAAACTGTGGGTAGAATGTGTGGACATTCCTCAAAAGAGGAATTTCTTAGTAATGAGAATTTAATATTTCTAATAATTTTCAAAATATAAAATGTTTTTGGACTACATACTTAATTATGTTTGCTTACTTCAAAGAAATATGATTTTTAGGAGGCTCTGAGTGGTAAGGGTGGGAACCTGAGTTGGGGGTAGAAATAACCAAGATACATTATATGCAATACATGAGCTTGTCAAAGAATAAATAAAAGATAATCTTTTTTTAAAACCCACAAGTTTAGGAAGTAGCTAATTTAAGCTCAAAAGCTAACAAAAATAATAGTTTTTTTTATATAGAGAAAATGGATCTGAAAACAATAAAAATAATTTATCATCCAGGGACAGACAGGTCACCCTGGGTCATGCTGCCTATTTGAACATCTGTTAAGACTTCAAAGAGAAGGAAGATTGGAGAGAAAAGAGAAAACTCACTAACATAGAAAGAAAACTTCCAAGAGTTTATTCAGAGTCCACAGAGGACACCCTTTGCAACAGCTTTCCTCTTCCTAAGTGGGCAGGGACTGCTTGGGATCCCAGTGAAGGGGGCCCAAGCAACAGTAAGTAGGGAAAACCATGGAAGTGAGGTCTGTGTGTTGCTCTAGAGCATTCTGGGAGAAGCACTAGGGCCAATGGACAGCAATGGGATATAACATGGGAATAGGAACGGGGGGCCTGGTAACTGAAGTATTTAATGATCAGCGGGAAAATTAGAACAGAAGTAGGCAACGGAAAATCAGGAGCACAATTAAGAAACTGGAGAGAGGTCGCAGGGAAGAAGATGAGATGCATCCTTCAGGGGGACGTGAATTTGAACTACATCAGCTGTGCAGACTGGTCTAGAAAGAAGCAGCCAGGTTGTTCTGGTTAAAAGAAAAACACACAAAAGACAGTTCATCACCTTGTTTGCACTGTGTAAGGTATCTGCCTGGGCTGGAAGATCGAAACTCACACCAGCCTCCTCATTCCCAGGAAGAGTGGGCACACTTTCCAGGATGTGGCTCCTTCCAGGCTCAGATGAAGGAAAAGCTAGTTCGGATGAAACAGGCTTTGTTCCTGGGATCTGCAGAGCCACTGTAGGCAGCAAAGCTGCTGGGTTAATTGCTAAATTTGCCTAAAGAAGAAAAATGGAACTCAGTATTTGTTCTTAAACACAGGAGCAGATTACCGTTTCTGTGACACATGATATCTGTGTTGCACACAGTGTGAAATACAAGAGAATATGAATGCAGAAAAATCATCTGATCCAGACTCAGTGGGGCACATACTTGTGCCCATCACTGGGATCAAAAGACATTAAAGAGCAGCACATAAGAAGCAACAACTAGGCAAGATGGAAGGTATGGTGTTGGCAGGGAAAGAGATGAGAGAATGCTTGATAGCAGCTGAAAAAACTGAAAATCCACAATGTTATAGGTGCCACAGGCAGGCAATGAAGACTCCAGATCCAATATAATTACTTGTATTTTCCCGATGCGACTGGATGGCTCTCTGCTTTTAAATGGAGTGAGACCTGAAGAATCCTGTGTGAAATTAAATTCAGTTAAAAATCCATTGAGGAAACAGGCAACAAACTGTCTCTTGGGTTCCACTCACACCAGTAAGTGAATCTGACCCAGCAAAGCTGTCCCTATCTGCAGCTCCTTAGCCCTGCCCTGGAACCCCACAGCAGTCTGCTAGCTACCAATACTTCACTGACGCCTCCTCCAGCATGAAGGACGGAAGGCTGCCATTTGACAGAAACATGGAGTAAAGGTAGACACTGCTGATGAGTTAGAACAGAGCAGTAGCTTTGTCAGAACATAACTTGATGAGTTATCCAACATGGCAAATACCAAAAAGCACATGTGCTCTCCCATGACCTGATGCCCAAGTTCTAAACACAAAGCATCTGGATTCCAGATGAGTTAAGAGATTAAGCAAGTGCCTCATCTTCCAAGCACAGGCATGGAAGCTTCAGTGAAACCCCAGACACAACTGGAATTGGTCTGGCTTCCTTTGTGGAAAAGCTCCACATCATACAGACAGGACTCCTAGAAGAGAGGTCACATACCAACTATCTTGGGGCACTTGGAAAGAACCAAGAAATCAGATGTCATTTGTATTAATTAGAATGTAATTCTACTCCAGGGGATCCAAGGAAGTCTGGAGGAAGAAATGGAGATGCTAGTGAAAAGCAATTCTTTATCCCATCTTATATCAAATTGAAAATTGAACTTGGAGTTTGGTCTAAACACAGTGATGATTAAATACAGAACAGGTTTCTCGAGTGGAGAAAAGTGGGGATAAAGAATACAGTGAAAGAGAGGGTTGTTGGTTGCTGTTTCCTCCTTAACTAAGAATTCTCAGTAACTCCAGGCCTATGCAATGGAATTCTCTATACAGGCATGCAAATAAGAGCTGGACTCCTCATGGAGATTAGTTCTAACCTGTGCTGTTTCTGTTTTCCATGTGCTTTTTTCTTTGCTACTTTGAGTAGATTCAGAAGGTTTCTGATTCTTTAAGGAAACAGGGTGGTCTTTTTTCAGTGTTCCTTTTTTTTCTGGTACCTTCAAAAGTAAAAAATATCAGAGTTGATCATGCATCTTCAAATTTTAAATAATAACGAGCAGAGGCGCCTGGCCTCCAGGCTCCACTCTAAAATGACAGCTAACCAACTCATAGGCAGCATTTCAGAAACAATGTCCTAAGCACTGCGGTGTTTCCAGGGATGAGATGCAGCTCAGTGGCAGAAGGATGGCCTGGCAAGTGTAAGGTTTTGAGGGGGAAAATGAATGTAACTTACACAGAAGTCCTTTCTGCAATTAGAAGGATATAATTATACAATATCTAGTACAGGTGGGGAAAAATACACTCAAAAGTTTTGCATCTGAAAGGCATAAAAATATAGGTCCTTCAATAAACTCTTCAAAAACCAAAGAAGACTGTACCACAATCAGAGAATCTGGATTAGTTAGTGTTATGAGCTGGGAGCCACATCTTATATACCTACTGCTCTATACATGATCTGTTACTCGTTTACTGGTAAGCCTTACAATTCTCTACAATTTTCTCTCTTAAAACTGGACTCCCGATCCTCCCCAGGCCTGAGAATAAAAAGCTGGTACCACAGGCTGAGTCTTGGCAGAGCTGAAGAGATCATCATCTTCATCATCGCCGAAGAGGCTCCCACCACTTGGCACTGACAACTGAAAGACACTACACTCAGATTACACATCCAAAAGTCAGTCAATACACACACAGCTACGAGAGCCACACAATCTCTAGCACAGTGGGAATCAGTGGAAACTAACCCTCATTTTTTTGGTACCAGCAAAAAGATCAACATCTGGGTCATTGTCCTTTTGCAGCTTGTGGCTGAAAAGCAGCTCTTCATCCTGGAAGACTCCTGTGCTCTTAGGGCGGCTATCAGTTTTGAGACCCTGGGCAAAAGACAAGACCAAAAATGGATACAACAAAGATGTCCCCTGGTAAAAGTTTGACCACAGCCTATGTGCCAAACAGCAGGAAAAAGACATTCACACAACAGAATATTATATAGCCTCCCAAAATAGTGATGGTAAATGAATTATCAAAAGTAGTGGTGAATAAATTTGTAAACTCAGATAACATATGCATAATCTTTCAACCTGCCTGCAGTATCTGAGTTTTTCATTACCTTCACCTCACCCACACCTACCAAAAATGAAACCCAACCCTTACCCATTAGCTTCATAAGGACTGAGAAGAAGCATGGGGGGGGGGGAATACAGCCAAACCACACAGAGTTCTTCATTTCATTCAGGAAGAACAATTTCTTTGGCTTGATATAAAAAGGAGGAGGGCTAGGGAGATGGCTCAGTGGGGAGTGTTTGCTGCACAAGTGTAAGGACCTAAGCCCCACCATCCTGTGACCCACGAAACAAACATGGGCGTGGCAGGACACATCTAGAGCCCCAGGACTTGGCAATCTTCAGGGCTTACAACCTAGGGGTTTTTTTTACAATTACATTTAATATATTATCATATAATAATATTTTACTAATGTTGTTATTCTATTAATTTTATTAATATATTGATTATAGTATACAAAATGAATACATTATTTATATTATATAAAATTAAATTTTTTACAATTTTAGTCACCATAAGTCATTGATTTTTTTTCAGCATACTCAGAGTTATAAAATCATGACAATCTAAAAAGCTGCCCTTGCATCTCATTCACCCCTCAAGAAAAGCCAAACAATCGATGGTCATGTACTCTTAACTGTCCACTCTCTCCTCTCAGCCCCAAGAAACCAAGGCCAGGATCAGTTGTCTTTAGTCACTCTCCACCTTCAAGACAGGGTCTCTCACTGAACCTAGGGCCACAATCTGGCAAGATGGACAGGCTAGCCAGCCTATGAAGGGACAGTCAGTTCTCTCCTTCCATTTTCACAGGTTCTGAGAATAGAACTCAGCTCCTCAGACTTGTGCTGCAAGCACCTGTTCTCAGTAAGTCCTCTCACTGGCCCATGGTCTATACTTTTGCACATGTAAGTCTTGCAATGCTTTCAATAAGTATTCCTAAGTATTTTAGTTTTTGTTGATGCTGCAAATGGTATTTCTTTCTTTTATTTTTAGACAAGCCTACCTAAAGCTATAATATATTAATATATTGATTTTCCATCCTGCAGTGTTGCTTAGCTATTCTGTAGTTTTAAAGTTCCCTATTCCCTGACAGAACTAGCTTCTAACCTTGACACCCCACCTAGGCCTCCCGTACAGGGCTAGTGACACTGGCAGGAGGAGCGGTCTTGTCTCACATGTGATCTCAAGGGGTAAGCTTCTTATGTTCAGCCTTAAGCCTGTCACCTGTGGGTTTCACAGATTCTCTGACCAACCTGAGGACACTTCCTTCTACATTTAATGTGTGACTGATCTCTGTTGTTTTTTAAATTATGAAGTGACTTGGACTTTTTCAAATGTCCTTTCTGTGTCTAGCAAGATGACAATGTGCCTTCCATCTTGCATTTTATTAATACAATATAGGACATGGACTGATTTTCAAGGTCAACGACCCTTGTATTCTCAGGAGAAAGCCCACTTCTGCTGTATTACAGCCTTACTTTCCTAAATTAGGTTTACCAGGACTGTTTAAGCAATTTATCATCTACTTTCAGAAAATACTGGTCTATAGTTTTAATACTTATCTGGTCTTCAGGCTAGAGTGGTTAAGAGCATTGGCAGCTCTTCCAGAGGACACAGATTTGATTCCCAAGCACCCACATGATGGCTTACAATCATCTGTACCTCCAGTCCCAGATGATCTAATGCCCTCTCTGGCTTCTGTGGGCACTGGGCATCCATGTGATGCACAGACATACATGTAGGCAAAATACTCATACACATAAACTAAAAACTCTTAAAAGATGTATCTGTCTAGTTTGGGTTCAAAAGAGTATCAGCCTCACAGAGCAAGGCTACTATTTGCCTCAGTGACATCTATTGGAATATGCAGTGTCTGCCTTTCTAGATCTGGGTTACCTCACTCAGTGTGCTATTGCCCACTTCCATCCATGTCATTCAGATTTTACGATGCTATTTTTTATTACAACTGAATGGTATTCCGTTGTATATATGTACACATTTTCATGATCCAGTAAGGAGCTGAGGGACATTTAGGTTGTCCTCATCCTCTTGGCTACTGTGAGTGGAGCAGCTATGACTACGACTGAGCAGTGTCAGTGGATAGGAAGTCAAGTCCTTAGACATACACCTGCCAGGGAAGGCTGCAGCTAGATCCTATGACACATCTACTTTTAGTGTTTTGGAAATTCTCCACCCTCACTTCCAGAGTAGCTGCACCAATGTGCAGTCCCACCAACAGCGATGAGGGTTCCACTTCCTCATTCTGCTCTAGCATTTGCTGTCAGTTGTTCACTTGATCGTAACCATCCTGACTTGGGTAAGAAGAAATCTGAGAAGTGGTGAGGAAAATACACTCGGTAGCAGTGAGGAGCGTGGGGAATGAGGAAGGGGAATGAAAACACTAAAGAAAAGCCGCAGGCAAGCACAAAATTTTAGAAGGTTACTAAAATATACATATTTGTACATGTATATATGTATATTTAATTTAAATGGAGTTATATGCGTAGGGTGAAAAATGTTCCCTGCAAGAGACAAAAATTATCTAACAAAAGCTTAAGTTCAAAGCATAAGAAACATCCCTTCACATTGTTGGCCAGAGAGGGGGGGATTCCAAGAGATATCACCAAACAATATAGGTTATTGCCATCATCCTTGATTGTCTCCAAAAACTTGAAGGTAAGAAGGATCCTGTTGCTGGAATCACCATATACTGCACCACATAGAGCAACTGAGCTAGAACTGACCTGGAAGTCTCCTTCCCTGATGACTACCTCTCACACTGCTGAAAGTGCTATGCACGCTCACGAGGGAGAAAATCAATAGTCCTACCTAGCTGGAAAGCCTACAAATACAATGATGGTCCAGCAAGACCTCCCAATGGGTGTGGCAGTGGCACTTTTACTCTGGCTGTACCCAGAAGCTGTCTAATTGGACTGAAGGCTCACTCAGTATGAAGAAATGCATGTCTAGTACTGTAACCCCAGCCCAATACCTGTGGCTAGAGAAACAATAGATCCTAGAAGAAAACCTACTACTGACATTTTCCTAAACTACTACAATTTCTAACTATATTCTAAACATTATCCTTGTGCCTCCAGATGGGTGTAGCTCTCACTGCTCATCAAGGAAGTTTCTTTATGAGCAGAGACCATCACAGAGACCCAAGACCAACAGCAGATGAGCCACTACAAGAAAACCCACATGGCCTGCAACAGCCCCTCAGAGAAAGGCTTGCTGGTACCTGGTAAATGCAAAAGGCCCTTCTACCACTAGTATTTCTAACCTGAACGCTAGCCTGACAGAAGTATACACGTTTGCCAACTCTCCTTTCCTACTGTGCACTCTCATAAACAGCCAAGTTTCTCAGGAGCAACAAGGTCTGTACATCTCAGAAGCAAGTGAGACTGCGAGGCAAGCTACTGATTGATTCCCAGATGTCTGACTGGAGAGGAGTATTTATACTTACACTGAAAGCTAAGATTTTCCCAGCACCTCGGGCCAGCACCAGCACCCCTGCTTGAAAGGCAAGTCCTGCGAGTCATCCACACGCTCGCACATTTCCTGCCCTTTGCTCACCTTTTCCAGTCCATCCTGTGGTGCACAGGTGTTACTTTCATCTTCTACTTTGTCCTCGTCCTCATCAAACAAACTGAGGACAGTTCTGGTTCTACCCTTGGCTCCTTTGTCCAATGGAGATGAAGAAGAAAATATATCAGAAGGCCCACCTACTTCCTGATCAGATGCGGGTAAAAGTCCTTCCTACAAACAGAAGGAAGGAAAAAAATAGTAACTAGAAATGAAAATCCCTACCACGGGCCTTCAAAAGCTTGAAAATAAATCAGTCACTGCCTTGTTACATGACACAATGCAACACAGTTTATCACAACACAGACTTCTATGTGACAAAACACTACGGTCATCAAGAAGCTTATACAGACAATCCACAGTTAAAGATAATTTTTCCAATAATGTTAAGCCAGAAACCTCTTCCTCCTACAAAGTAACAGGGTAGTCATAACCCTAGTGTACACAGGTTGTTTATTTACTATAAAGAAATTCTAAATTATAACGTCAATAAGTGTCAATCATTAGAAATGGATCACTTAATTCCTAGTTTTCTTTTTTTTTTTTTCTTTTTTGGTTTTTTCGATACAGCATTTCTCTGTGTAGCCCTGGCCGTCCTGGAACTCACTATGTAGACCAGGCTAGCCTCGAACTCTTGAACTCAGAAATCCGCCTGCCTCTGCCTCCCAAGTGCTGGGATTAAAGGTGTGCACCACCAACGCCCGGCTCCTAGTTTTCATATGTAAGTTCCAGAGGGAAATTTAACCAACAAACTCACACTCAAACTGCAGCCTTCCATTCCTCACGTACATACAATTTCTAGCATAACACTAAAAACGCAGGATTAACTTACTCAATAGTATCACCATTCTGGCAAGATACTACTGGTCAAAACAATTACTACTATATTCATCAAAAGAAAAATGATTTCCAATTATTTAAACCACTAACTGCAAGAGTGCATCCCAAGCTTCCAAGTGGAGGCATGTTTCATTAGATACATGAAAATATGTGAAGTCCTGCTTACTATGTAAAAGGCAATATGCCAGTGCTTATGACTAAAAAAGAAGCAAATGAACCTAATCCTCAGTTCACACCTGACTGAGGGACAGGGCAGTGTGGCAGTGAGAGTAACTCAGGCCCCATGCAGCCTCTAGGAGGAAAAGATCAGAGAGACGCGGGTACACAGGAGTCTCGCTGCAGCTATAAGGAGCCGCTGGGAGACACACGAATGAAATGCTCTTCACACAGGCCCTGGGAGAAACTAAACCTGAGCAGCTGGAGCTACGGAGGACGGAGAGCGAGGAAAACAAGTGGCACTGCATAGACAGAAAGCAACTGTTAACATGAGTCCCCTGTCTCTCAGCAGCACTAGCCGAAGGCCTCCAAAGAGACAACAAACCCTCAGAGCAGATAGTTAATGTCAGAAGAAAACCCATTTGATTTTGCTCTGACTGAGTCAGCATCAGCCAGAAGTAAAAGCATGGCAACCTGACTTCCTGAATGTGACATCTATGAGAAGTGAGGACTGCGCAACAAGGAAAACAAGAACTGCAGAGAAGTAAATGAAGAAAACATACAAAGCAAGTCAGCATGGAACTGAGAGGGGGAAAAGCATGCTGAAGACAAAACGCCTGACAGCACTGCAATCCAGCATGCCAGTAAAGCAAACAGGAAATTTCCATCTCATGGTGGACAAGAATTCTGCTATGAATCTAAAGGAGGGTTCCCAGAACAGCATGAATACGGGCTATTTTCTTACCATACTCAGTATTTTCTAGCCTTTCTAAAAAACATTTATTGACATACAAGCATTCTCAGTGTTGGAAAACTGAGGAAAGTGTTCCATGTGTTACAATGGATTGGAAAACCACAGATGCAGCTTACCTTCTGTGCCCTGCTGGCCACATTAGCACTCCCTACTTCTGGGGACGCTCCAGCATTATCCACCTTCAGATCCACAGGCTTCACACCAGATGGTGCCTCACTGTCCTCCTCATCACTAAACAACAAAGGCACCTTGGGGGTGCTCTCTTTTTTCTACCAAAAGAAAAAAAGATGGCATTGACAATGATTAAAAATATTACATCTGAGCAGCACGGTAATGTATAAAGCCAGATAAAACCAGCCCTTTTGGAATGAGCTAAGTATAGCAGAAGAAGGGCAGAAAGGATGGTAATAGTGACCTTGGTATGCAAGGCATAACAGATAGAATTCCTCCAGTCTTGTGACCATAGCATTTCACAGCTTGTTACTGCCACCAGAACAATAACTAATTTGTCTCCTCTTACACTTCACCTCTAAGACAACACTCAGGAGTTGCTACTCTAGATCTGTGCTCTTTACACTAACGCACAGAATGAGTCAACCCAATGTGCCCTTCTCATCCGCAGTGCCTCTTCCTCTTCGCTTGCCATTCCTTAATGTTATGCCAGCTCTCACATTCCTACACCCTGGGTTCCTCTGTTTGAAGACTATCTTCATCTTTACAGCAAGGCCCAGACGCAAATGTCACCCAAGGTTTTTCCACTCTGTTCAATATCACTGCTTCTCTGAATAAACACAGTATTTCTTCTTTACCTGGCCCTTACTTTATTCCTTATCTATTTGTTAATTTATCTAAAAACACTAAATACTATATGGCCAGACACAGTATTTCATACAAAGCAGTTTTGCTCCAGGTTGTAAGAACTTCAGCTCAGCTCATCAATTCCTTCTTTGGAAGGCAGGCAGTTTAGAGAGTAGGAAACAGGTAATGTAACTGACTTGGAGTGACTCACCGCCTACAGGCTGAGGCAGCGATGCCTAACCAAGTCAGGAAGGCTGATGTGGGAAACTATGAAAGGACAGTACTAACTGTAACTGAAATGAAATTTACAAATGAAAATTGGAGTAAGAGGACTTTTAATTATCATCAGGAAGAGATCCTTAGAATGCAAAAATTATTCAACTTGAAATCAAAGAAAATGGAAGTTCACTAAGAATACAGATGACAATAGGCAATACTTAAGGAATTAAAGGGAAACAAATGTAGAACTCATTAGATTGTTAGAATTTAAAGATGAAGTATCCCCAGAGGCTCAGATACGAAGAGCATGTACCAGTTAGCAGTGCTATCTGAGGAGGCTCTGGCAACTTTAGGACACAGGGCCTTGCTGGAGGGATATTACTGAGGATGTGTCCTTGGGAGCTATCTTGCCTTCCCATACCCTATCCCTCTAGATGCCTCCTAGCCACCATAATATGAGTAGTTTCCATTTCTAGGATGTTCTGTCTTGACACATGTGCAAAACCAACAGAACCAAGGACTAAGGACTGACCCTCCGAAATCATGAGCCAAAATGGGACTTTCCTCATTTATGTTAAATGTGTTATCATAGCAACTCCCAGCATGGGTTTTCAGATCTGACAAAGCAGCATTTCTACGTATGTAGCACAATCTTACAGGTATTTCCTGAGTCTAGAAAAATGAATACCATTGTTGCAGAAGTAACAGATGTAGGAGGAAGGCCAAACAGAGAGCTTCCACTATCAGCATCATCTTCAAAGAGAAGGGAAGTTCTCTGAGTCTTCTTTTGGCTATGAACAAATAGAAGATCAAATTCAGGAAAAACACAACTTAAAAACAAAAACATTCTGCTTTTTTGGCCACATTCACAGTGACTAATTATTAGTTGACTTTGTACATCGTAAAGTTGGTGATTTGAAAAACCTTTGGACAGACAGAATCTGATCATACAGGTGGCAGCCTTTGCCTATCACTCTCAAGCAGAAGAGCCCAGAAACCTGCTCATGAAGCCCTGCCAATCACTTTCCACAGGATGCAGCTGCACTAGCTCGTAGATCTGAAAGACTCACTGCACTCCTGGAGTCGCAAACACTGAATTCTCCATCAGAGAATAAACTAAGAGGGTCTATGACTACCTTCGCATGCCCAGGAAGGCAGCTGACAGACCACAGAGCCAGAGTCAGCTTTTGCATTGTAACCCTCTTTTCCATTCCTACTTCTTTGATTCAGAGTAGCTTTATTAGGGTGTGACTTACATAATAAAATTACCACCAGTCAAATTCACACTTCAAGAATCTTTAGCCTTTTGAGAACTGAACACTATCATCATAGTCTAAGAAGGAACCCACGCCCATCAGCAGTCAGCTCCCCATTCCCTCCTCTCCTGAGCCACCAACTGACTTGCTCTCTCTGGACTAATCAGTTCTGGACATTTGCTATAAACAGAATCATTCAGTCTATGGTCATATATGACTGACTTCTTCAGTTAATATATTTCCTAGACTACTTCATGCCCTACCATATATCAGCACTTTATCCCATACTGTTGCTGACTAATAGCGCACTGTATGGTTCACAACCTTTTGTTATCTATTCATCATCTGATGGGCACTTAGATTGCCTTCTGGGTATTATGGATTAATACAACAGTAGACATTCTTGCACAAGTTTTACCTGAACATGTTTTCATTTGTCTTAGTTGTATACCAAAGAGTTAAATTACGGGATCACACGGTAATGCAGGCTTAACATTCTGAAGAAATACCAAAACCATTTTCCAAAGTGACTGCGCCACTTTATATTCATCCACATCTTTGCAATGACCTTTTTGAGATCTGTTCAAATCTGTGACTTACTTTCTATACACAACATTTTACAGTAATGCTGAAAGCATTACTGAAAGCCAGGAACTGTGTGGCTGGCACCAAGTGTAGCTGGATATTTTACAATAAACTAGGTAATGTGGGAGGAGTTGGGAGGAGTGAAGAAAGGAAGGAGAAGGAAGAGGAGGAGCTAAAAAGGGAGGACCACAGAGAGGGGAAGATGGCAGTGGATGTGCGTGTATCTCTAGCAGTTCAAAGGTAGTTACAATATCTAGGTTAGGTATTGGGTAACACCTCTAATTGTGTGGACTTCTTGTTAATTGAGCATTACCAAACATATAAAGCCTTTGGATAATCTTAAAGCATTAGAATCTCATTTCTACCGAGTACCGCATGGATGGCGGGATGGTCTGGGCTCAGCCAAGCATTGTGGAGACAGTATGGTAGATTGGCAGAGCCATCTTCCATGCTGGCTTCTCGTGGGTGCAGGGCCAGTGGTTCTGCCTGGTCATTTCTAGCTGTGGCATGTGTGTGGCCTCGGGAACATGGCGGCAGAGCTAAGCAGGGCTGCTGCCGATTATATAGTCAGCCCAAACCTTAGCTTTTTAAAAATATTATCCATAACAACCAAGCCTTACGAATGGGACGTGTCTCAGGCCATCAGGTTCATGGCAATGTGTGTGGGAGGGCACACACGAACAGAGGACGCTCAGCTACAGTGGAGTCACAGAGCGTGGGGGAGGCAAAGATGTACCTGTGCTCTAAGCCCCAAGTTCTTCTCTCTCATGTCTGGATTATAGTAGGATCTCAAAAGAGAGGACTTATATTGACTCTTGACAGAAGCTGGTCAGGAAAGGCAAGAAGAGTATCCCAGGAAAGAACAATAAAAATAAGAGTGACATTTTTCCCTGAACTATGATGAATGCTGCCCAGGACCAGCTACTACATGAAGCATTTCACATTACAAATGCATGATTATCTTAACAAGCATACAAGAGATGAAATATATGAGGCCTAGAGAAGTTAGGGAACTTGCCCAAAGTTATTCAGATAGGAACTACAGAGGCAGAATTTAAAACTGTACTAGGATTTCAGACATTCTCTATTCTGGACCAGAGGCCACAGATACACCCGGTCTTGTGAGCCTAAAAGCAGCAAAATTACAGTCTGAGGGAGATGGAACTCTTTAGAGAAATCTGAGGTACTTTGAATTTGAATTCATTTGTGAAGACCACCAGCTACTGCACAGAACTTCCACATTCAATGGACTGCCTGCTTATTCTACCACCATTCAGCTGCGCTTCAATGTAATCCTTTACAACTCTCCAGAGGAAAGGGTTAAATGTGGGAGTTACTCTGACTACACAGCTATCCAGCAGCACATACAGCATGACCTATGTCACTCACACAAGCCACCAGCTCAGTCATCCAGACACAAGGCATGGTCAGTACCTGCTGAGTTTACTCCTAATATCATGTTTTTCAACATTTTCAGGATTTCTATCAAAGTAACAAAGTTTTAAGTAACCTTTTTTAGGGTATACCTAACGGGGAGGGGAAGACATAAAAGATAACAATATCATCCTTAAACCCCTTAGGGGGGAAAAAAACTGTTTCAAGGTTAAGAAAATATCAGAAATAAAAATCAAAGCAAACTTTCCCAAGGCCTTCCTTCACATGGGTAAGAAAAAATAGCCCCACCTGTGTGCGTGTGACAATAAGGTATCAACCACTGCAACAGACATTCTGTCTCACACAGGAAACCTTTCCCTGTGATTGTAAACATCTCACCTGTCTTTCGCAATAGCAAACAGATCAACTTCATCATCATCATCATCCTCAAACAGATTGGTCTTTTTCACAGTCTTCGATTCTTGGCCTTGGGTGGCCCCCGAGTCCCACAGCTCTCCTTTGGCCTTAGTGTCAGACGCTAACTTGGTATGAGAATCTGCCATACTCCACTGGTCCTTAAGACACAAATCATGCAGTAAAAATCCACAGGGCAGTGGCAACAAGATGGCTAGGTGAGAAAAAAGACTTACTACATAAACATGAAGACCTGAGTTCATATCCCCAGGTCTCATGTTTAAAAGATCCAGATATAGCTACACACGCTAGTATCCCCAGCATTGGGGGGCAGATTTAGGTGGATCCCAGGAGAACCCATCAGCCTAGCCAAACAACACACAAACACGAGCAAAGCCCCCTCCACTCAACATACATACATTCCCCACCTCCCTCCACTCTCTCTCTATCACACACACAATCAGTGTCATCATCATCCTTCTCTTCCTCCTCCTCTTCTTCCTCCTCTTCTTCTTCCTCCTCCTCTTCTTCCTCCCCCTCCTCCCCCTCCTCCTCCTCAAATAGGATGGTCTTTTTCACAGCTTTGCTTCTTGGCCTTGGGTGGTTCCCAAGTCCAGGGGTCTGCCAGCCACCAGCCCAGCTCTGGTGTGTTGAAGGAACTAGAGCATAGTTAGTGGCAGAGACATATATAATCTCGTGGCTAATTTAAATATGGAACATGACAAGTAAAATTAGTTTACTATCTGTTAGGTTACAATCAAACTAAAAATCAAGTATACTAAAAGAAAAGTGATGTCTTAGATTTCTTTCTTTCTTTTAAGAAGGGGAGCCAAGTAGCCCAGGCTGGCCTTACATCACTGTGGTTAGGAATAACCTCATAGTTCAGATCCTCCTGCTTCCTCCTCTCAAGTACCAGGAACACAGACAGTACCTGGGGACTAAACCCAGGCTTTCTCAACACTTGGGTTGTTGGCTTGTGTTGTGCCAACTTAACACAAGCAAGAGTCATTTTTGAAAAAGGAACCTCAATTGAGAAAATACCCCCACAAGGTTGGCCTCAGGGAAAGCCTGTGGGGCATCTTCTTGATTAATAACTGGCAGGGGAGGGCCCAGCCCACTGCAGGCAGTGCCCTCTTGCCTGGTGAACCTGGGTGCTATGAGAAAGCAGGCAAAGTGAGCCATGAGGAGCAAGTTAACATGCTGCACTCTCCCTAGCATCTACTTCAGTTCCTGCCTCCAGGTCCCTACTTTGAGTTCCTGCCCTGACTTCCCGTAGTGACAGACTGTGGCACGTAACTGTGAGCTGAAATACACCCTTTCCTTCCCAAGTTGCTTTTGGTCATGGTATTTGATCATACCAACAGAAGCCCTAAGTTAAGACACTAGGCAAGCACTTTACCAACTCTTTTCAAAGGTTTTGATTTTTTTATTATTGTATTATTTTCCAATGTTGGACACAGAACCAGGGTCTTGCTCTTGCTGGATATGCACTGCACACTAAGTTACATTCCAGGTGCCAGGAAGACCTTTAAAAGTCGGGGCACTACATTTTATTGTTGAGTGTTTCTCAGCCTTCTAAGACACAATATAACTCTAAATCTCATTTGGATTTATGGTCTTCTACTCAGCTAAATCTGGATAATAATTAAGCTACTATTGCTTTTGCTGATCTCTATCCGAATCACATATTCACTGCCTTATAGAAAAGGAGTTGAATTTGCATAGGCCACTGCTAGTGTGTCTACTGCATTGTAGCTTAATGACACAAAGCAGTCCTTAAAAAGATAATACACAGTGGATGGGGCCCTGGACACATGGCCCTCAAATTTGATCCCTTGGCAATGAAGAAAGCAGAGGCATCAAGTCTCTCTGACCTTCTTGCCTTTTCCCTAATAGTAAAACAAAAGAGGATGCCATGGTCCTCTACTGTGAAGCAGGACCAATGGTGTCCTTCCCTGTACCTATAGGAAAGGTGGCCCCACTACTGACGACACAGAGCAAAACCTGCACAAGCAGACCTTACTAAACCCCTCAGCCTCCCACTGCAGACCACTCTCCAGTCCTGTCATGCTTCTCCCAAACTCTTTGTTCTTTGTCATATTTAGCAAAACATAGCCACAGGTTCCTTATCATTCCAAATGTACCTTAGGTGTAAATGCTTTTTCTCTGCTATCTTTTGATACAGAGCTTCAACCATGAACCTGTGGTGGAAGCCAAATTAACTCCATTTTGAACGTATTAATGTTTGACACATTACTTAAACACTTTAGAAGATAGTGTTGCAAACACCATCTCTCCGTGACTAAGCCCCAGTGACTACAGAACAGTAAATGAGCACGTGTAGAACAGCTCTAACTCAGGCTTCATTCCTATCAGGATCTCGTGTGTGGGCAAACCTTAACCTACCTCCTCATCACTGCTGAACAAGGCAGATGTCTTCTTTGGGGGCTGCTCTGAAAGTTTTGTTTTCTCTTGACTCTGAGGTTGTAGAGATGAAGTCTGCTTCTTAGCTGCTGCACTCCCAAAAAGATTGTCCTAAAAGGACAAATGGTAGGAACATATAGAATGCATCACCAACTCATATACTTGAAACCCAAGCAAGATATTCTCCCATATGAAGTCATTCTCCCACAAGGGGTGGAGTATAATGTGTGTTGGGAACAGTCACAAAAACCTCTGCACATCTCAGTCTATAACCTCTTCAAGTTACAAACACTATCCACAAAAGAAAAACAAGATTACCACAGAATTCTTTTAATTTAAGAAAAAAAATAGGGTTGGAAAGATGGCTCAGAGGACAGAGGTCCTAAATTCAATTCCCAGCAACCACATGGTGGCTCACAACCATCTGTAATAAAATCTGGTGACCTCTTCTGGTGTGCAAGAATACATGTAAGCAGAACATTATATACATAGTAAATAAATCTTTTTTTTTAAACTGTAAGTATTATTCTATATGTGCATGTCCATACAGGAGGATGTGACTGGAGGGCAGTGCATGCACACAGTTTAGAGAACAACTTTCGGGAGTCATCACAGAAACTGAGCCAGAGCTTGAGAGAGCAAAATCAACAAAGGACAGTCAAGATGGTGGAAGCACAAGGAGGTGCGCCTTCCCAGTCCACCTGTGGGCATGAGAGCCTTTGCAGCAGCCATCAATCACACATCACTCTCTAAGAATTAGAAATTGCATTAATAACTAACTAGCTAAAAGGAGTGTTTACAACTAAGAAAGTTGAAGAAAGAAGGCATTATTTATAATTAATTTATAATAAAGAATACAAGGGTATGGAACAGTTTACTAAATAAAACCCTGGCATCCTAAGAAAATTCAGTGACCTCTGTAAATATTCTAAAAATATCTAATATGCAGTGACTGTGGCTTTATGTGTCTTTGATCATAAGATTCATGAAGCCAAGGCAGGAAGAATATAAATTTGAAGCCAGCTTGGGCTGTGCTGCATGGTCAGTTACAATTACAAAACATTTGGACTACCTATGAGATCCTGCTACCATACCCAACCCCACCAAAAATTCTATTTATCCACTTTTATTAAGATAATTGAACAAAACTATCAAGTTTGGTTTATGATGCAAAAACTTCACAGTATATACTGTAGCAGTCCTGAGTCAAAGAAAGTAAAGATCTTTAAGTAAAGCCTGGTAAGGTAGAAAAGACCACAAGAATAACAAGCTGCAGTCCAGTGGGATGTTAGTGACAACAGCTTTCCCTCATCCCACACTTAAACCCTTTAGCAACCACTGAGCAAAGACATGACGTTACTTGTCTCCATGACTACAATGAACCTAGTGACCTTTAACACACAGAAGATGGAACTGTGCAGGTATCTGCAGAAAGGATTTGCAATGGTGGAGCTGAGTGTGGACCAACAGGCACATGGATCAACCACTGCACAGTGCTACATAAAGGTTCAACTCTGGATCCTTTTACCTCTTACTTTTCTTTACCACCGTATGCACTCTCTATATATACCCAGAGCGAGAAGAACTGTAAACACCACCATACGCACTCTCTAGATCCAGAACGAGAAGAACTGTAGACCTAAAACATGGCTGCCTCCTCTTTCCTACTGCCGCTTTATCTAAGATATTCTCATAGACTATTGGGTATTAAAGTTACTTATCCAGCCGGGCGGTGGTGGCGCACGCCTTTAAGCCCAGCACTTGGGAGGCAGAGGCAGGTGGATTTCTGAGTTCGAGGCCAGCCTGGTCTACAGAGTGAGTTTCAGGACAGCCAAGACTACACAGAGAAACCCTGTCTCAAAAAACCAAAAAAAAAAAAAAAAAACAAAGACAGGAAAGTCATTGCAGAAAATCCTAATGATGGGAAATAGATGACAGATAAAATACATGTTAAGGGGCCTGCTGAAACCCATATTATCACTTCTTCGGTGTGATAATGCCTTCCAGTTGGGCCTAAAATAAAAATAAAACTCCATTAATATTTGTATCTTGCACCTTAACATGTATGTGGCTAAGCCTAGGAGGAAAGCCCAGAGGCTGCCACTCCGAGCACGCCCTCTTCTGACGCAGCTCCACATTTTCTAGATTAGCTGGCTTCAGGCTTGGCATGGTTGTTCATGAGCCGAAACCAGAGCTGACCTAGTTTCCATACAGTAATAGCTCAGTGTACTATAGCACAGAAAGGGAAATGCAGTCAAAGTTGTCGAAATAGTAAAAAAAAAAAAAGTTACTTACCAAGTGTGTGGAGAGCGTGTGTGTGTGTGTGTGTGTGTGTGTGTGTGTGTATGTATGTATGTATCTATATATACACACAAACTATTTGGGTTTCTCCAATAACTGAGTCAAGATTTCAACATCTTCTTAATTGTATTACTGAAAACACTTGGACGTCACCAATGTAAGCAGACATCAGTAACCTAGAGCCTTTTCAGCCGCTTGTTTCTACTGTACGCCACTCTGGCTATAAAGCCATCTAAAACAAATTCCTGGGTTAATTATCTGGTGTTGCAATAACAACAGTTACCTCTTCATCTTCATCGCCAAAAAGGGAGACTGATGTTGAGGGCTGGCTGGACAGGAGTGATGTACTTTTTGGCTTACTTGAACTTTGAGAAGAAAACAAATCCTGTTGAATCAGAATCAAAGCTGCTGGTTAGTCAGGCCTATCAGCTTTAATGTGTAGTAAGTACAAACCCTCGAATACGGTGGCTGTGTGTCTAGACTTGAAACCTTAGCATGTACCCTTGGTGTGTGTGACACAAGGAGAAAAGGAGAACCACGAGGTATTGCAGGCAGTCTCTTTGTAGGCTGCAAGGCTACCATATTCCCACCCAAAGGATGTGAGTCAGGAAGACATTTCTCAGTCAGTCCTATCATGCAAACAAAAGGCTTCCATTGTCTAAATTATCCATGAGAAGCATACAAATCCTACCACAAAATGGGCTGGACTTGCAAAGGGCTAGGCCAATGATGGCTCTATTGTTAAGATCTCTCTCCCCAGAGAATACATCTTTTAAATAAATACAAATTAAATTCCTATTTGAAAAGGCTTGTGCTTGGAGGGTAACTCAGTGGTAGCATATGTGCTGACACTGTCTACTATTCTACTTGAGCTATAACTATGAAATGCTGCAAAAAATATGCCACATTCTGAAAGTGTTTGAACCACTGGATGGACTGTCAGCTCAGCACAAGGAACACTGTGCAGACTGAGCTGCATGAACTAGAAACAGAAAGTAGGACAACCTGTCCCCTGGGCAGAGGGACCTCAATATAAGAGCCAGATAATTAAACAAGATGAGAACATTTTCCATGACCTCTTTGGACGCTATCTCTTTATTATACAATCAGTGCCTACCACTCATCAGACACAAACCTAATGAGTTCACTGACCTACAGAGAATTCTTAGCACACTGGTTTATACCTGGCTTCATGAGTCCCGATGGTTTGTTTACAAAGAGGTTCTAGTGTCCCATGCCCCTCTGCATTTTACACAATGACAAACAGGTTGGCTGTTTTAAGAATATCAAAGCAATTCTTCCAAAGAACAAAAAACAGATTTCTATATTGTAATTTTGAACCTTCCTTGGCAGTGGAAGGGACACACACAATTAATTACCTCAAGATACATCCCCACAATTTAGTAAAACAAGCTTCCTGCTCATATCTGAGACACATATAAGCACAAAGAACCATTCCTTCCAGTTCAGAGTTTTACGTCCTAGACTGCCTTATGTTACTTCTGTGATGGTGCCCCCAGGGTAAAGCCTTGAGTGGTGGTTTTAAAACAAGCCTCCGTTTAGTAAACTCTACCATCAAGAACTGAACTTGAGGGACTGGAAATATAGCTGAGTGGCAGAGTGCTTGTCTAGAGTATAGAAGGCTCTGGGGTCAACACCCACCATCCTCCCACTCTCCGGTATCCCTACACCCTCCACACACACATGCAATGAAATTTGCTTCCTGCCCCTGTTCCATCAACAACTGCATGAAGGAACAGCATGGACTTTCGTGATGCATAATCTTGCCTGTCATTTGACACACTCAACTGGCTGATTTTGTCTGTCAACTTGATACAAACTGGAGTTATCACAAAGAAAGAAGCCTCCACTGAGGAAATGCCTCCATGAGATACAGCTATAAGGCATTTTCTCAATTAGTGATCAAGGGAGAGAGGACCCACTGTGATGGCGCCATCCCTGGGCTGGTAGTTCTGGGCTCTATAAGAAAGCAAGCTGAGCAAGCCAGGGGAAGCAATCCAATAAGCAGCACCCCTCAATGGCCTCTGCATCAGCTCCTGTCTCCAGGTTCCTGCCCTGTGTGAGTTCCTGTCCTGACTTCCTTTGGTGATGAACAGCAATGTGGAAGTGTAAGCTGAATAAACCCTTTCCTCCCCGACTTGCTCCTTGGTCATGGTGTTTCATTGCAGCAACAGAAACGCTGACTAAGACAAACATCAAGGAGGACAGATCCTCAATTGAGCAACTGCCTTCATCAGACTAGACTGTGGACATGTATGTGAGGTGTTTTCTTTATTGCTAACTGATGTAGGAGGGCCTAGCCTACTGTGGGCAGTGCTATCCCTGAGCAGGTGGTCCTGAGTTGTATAAGGAAGCAGGCTCAGTACAAGCAGGAGAGTAAGCCAGTGAACAGCACTCCTCCTTGCTCTCTGCTCCAGGGTCCTGCTAAGTTCCTGCCTTGGCTTTCTTCAATGATGAACATCCGGTAATATGAAATAAACCCTTTCCTCCCCAAGTTGCTTTTAGCAGTGTTTTATCACAGCCACAGAAAAACTATCTAGGACAACTTCCAAGACTAGGGTAAAAAGGGCAACATAACTTCTATCTGACACTCTCAGGAGCTGAACCAGCAGAAATAGGTCCCACTTCCTGAAGCTACCATGCTTAGAGACCCACCACACAGGGACAGGAGCCCAAGCTGCTTGAGGCTTCCTACCCACAGCCTGTCATCGTCATCAGCAATGAAAGGTAAAAGCTGTGCTGAATATGTATCACAATGGGAACAAACTCTCTAGCAAGTCACAATACCCTTAAAGCAGCCAGCTGATTTCTTCTCCCTCAACTGTGAACCAACAGTCTTCCAAAAGCCCAAAAATTAAAGCTACTGTGTGTGTGTGTGTGTGTGTGTGTGTGTGTACACACACACACATTGTTTTCTGAAGATCACATACTTTCAAGAATACTCGAAGTCTTGTATATACTAGACAAGCATTTTATACCACTAAATTATATCCCCAGCCCAAGAGAATATTTTCAAAATAAGAATTGAACTACTTAATAAAAAGTCTTAAACCTCTGCTGACAGGCTAATCACAACGTTATTGATATTATATCTACAAACGAACATCCAGAACTAAGTAAAGAGTTCCATACCTCAGAGTCTTCTTCATCTGAAAACAAACCTTTCTGAGTCTTTGTTTCTGACACAAGCTTCAGATTTTTGCTAGAAGGTAAGGTGATCTAGTTGGATCCCCACCAAAAAAGGAAAAGAAAATATACTATTAGCAAGGAAGAGACATGGAAACAAGCTCACTTCAGAAAATGTACCCAGCCTCTACTATGATAAGGCACCAAACCAAGTGCCAAGGGACTAAACAACCCCTGGACCTTCATCTGTATAAAGTTCACACCAAGATTTTGTACAGAATTACCATGACAAAGAATTTAAACACTGGTGTAATTAGTGAACAGAGAAGAAACAGTGTCACTAGAAAATAAGTTTCTCAGATTCCCCAGAATAGTGAGATGGTGCAAACAAGATAAAGCACAGGGCACAGCTATGTACAGCATGCACTGTCACACAGAACACATCTGTGTACATGGAGTATGCACTG